GCTTTCTCACACAGCATTGCTCTCCTCTCTCTGATCTCCCCCGACCACTCACACCATGCAGACAGGCGTTGTAACACTGACCAGTCCGATACAAGGACCTTATTTACCCTTAAAACTAAGCTCAGAATGCCATTATAGCCTACAGTACAATGTTAGAAATGAAGGTTCTATGTAGGTACATTTCTTGTTCAGTTTTTAGGTGAAAGGTACGTATTTGTCGCTTTTCAAAACCTAACAATTTAAAGCACAACAATAAAATAAAAAGCCTGGAGACGAGACGGGGTGTGGAGTCAATACAACTTAGAAAATATAATTGGATTATGGTGCAATTATGTTCCCTGACTAAAGGCACTGAGATGTACCCTAGAGGGTACCATCCCAGTGACAGGAGGGGTACTGCCCCAGTGACAGGAGGGGTACTGCCCCAGTGACAGGAGGGGTACTGCCCCAGTGACAGGAGGGGTACTGCCCCAGTGACAGTTTAGTACCTTTTTCCTGAGAGTGTAGGATGCAGAAAATCATTTCTTCAGTTTAAGTGGATTAACGCTGCTCATGATCATATGTCATTTTTCATGAGACAACCGATTAAAAAGGAGGTTGGACAAAACTGAACCAGAGTGCTCACATGGAGCTGAACAGTTTGACAGTTTTGTTTACATTCGTGATTAAAAATATTCAGCTAGAAGATATTTATAAAGATATTCACTGGCATATATAACATACCAACCTCTACACTGATCACTGAGGTTTGTAAACAGACGACGAGAAGCCTCACTGCCGCAGCTTGGTGAGTAGTTTACTTTATTGTAGAAATACAGTGTGTGTCTCTATCCTTGGTTGTGGTGTTCAAGACACCTGCTAACACTGCTAATCTTTACATGCGCTGAGAAGGAAGAACAACACCTGCTGTACTTTTTCTCCCTGTCTTTCACGTCCAAAAAAGAAGCGCAATAAGTGCTGGTCTACACCAGGGGTCGGCAACCCAATAGTTAAGAAGAGCCATTTTGTCCATTTAACGAAAATTAAACCACATTTGGAGCCACAACATTTTATGTCCATTTTACCATCTTGCCTGTAAGTATGTCTCAGTATGCGCTGATGTGCTCATAAGTTAAAAAAAATAATAATACAAAGGAAAATGCAGCCTTACTTTGCTCTGCTTTAAGCTTTAGCTCAGCCATAGCTGCTTTTCTCGCATCTCCAACAGGAAACCTTTCCGCAAAAGCAGAACAGTTTCTTGTAAAACATCTCAACTTTTTACGAGGCTGAATTCAGCTGCTTATTCACCAGCTTCTTGTTCGAATTTTCCCGTTCCAACTTAAATGGTGCCTGAGGTGCCAGAATGTAACTGATGCACCATTTAAGATGGAACGGGAGAATTCGAACAGACACTCAAACTTCTGGCGAACGAGAAGCTGACTTCAGCTTCGTGACTTTTTAGTGTTTGACAGTTTCTCCTCGCAGATTAAAGGTATCGGGAAACCAACTGGAGTGCTTATAAACACAAGTAAATCAATTTGTCTTCAAATTATCGATCTTGCCGTTCTGTTAGCTACTACCTATGCGAGATCTCGATTGTCTTCATTTCTATGTGACCAGCAGTCTGTGTGCCTTCAGGGTTAAAGGGTGAATTATCAGTTATACATTAACTCCAGCATTTAAGAACATTTATTGTTAGAACCATCAGCAGAGTTTCATTTTACTGCAAAGGAGGATTAATTTATCTATACCTAAAAATCTATTTCTGCTGTGGAGCCGTAACAGGGCAGTAAAAGAGCCGCACGCTGCTGACCCTGGGCCTATACATTTAGTGTGAAGACGTGGACTTTTTGCAGAATCTGTTCCACCTTCTGGCCCCAGCCTTGCTATACTATATAAATGTAATTATGCAATTATATTCTTGCATCATGTAATCTACATTCGTTTACACAGACCTCTGAAGCCATTTGTGATTCTGTATTCGCTGCCAATAGGAAGCCCAGGTCTAAGCAGTGTTTCTCTGTAGAAATAAATACATGACGTGTTTGAAACTCGTTGTCACAGCTGGTAGTTAAAATGTTTCAAAGCTGATAAGTTTCGCACTGCACCTGTTGATTGACTTCGCAGATTTGGATAACTTTCAAAACTTGTGCCTAACTTGTACTTTAGTTAGCCAGAACCTAACATATTCTGTGGCGGGTATAGCTGTTACCATGCTAGCTAAGCTAAAGCTAACCAGCTCCTCTCTCCTAGTTTGCAGCACTGTTTAACATTTAGCAATTGTTACGACAGACGGGTTGACATTTATTGAATAATGACTCGAAAATCATGCACTTTGTTGACCATGTACGACAAAAGCGACATAGATGCTCTCGTGTCACTCACAATGTCTTATGTACAAAAGCAATATTGGTATTTTGACTCGTTAACAACTTTGTAATTCAGAGGATCCAATAACATTTGGAAGAAAAATGTCTGTATGGTAAAATTTATTGCGTCTGGAACATTTTTGTGGCACGATAGTGGCAATTTTTGAAAACAACTTTCATTTTTCACATAGAGCAAACCAACGTAGAACCAGAGTTTCTAATATGTGCAATGTATCGAACAAAGAATGACAGCAGGACCTCAGAGGTCAATTTTGGGTCGACAGATGTGAGCCTACACCTCAAACATTTTTTAGTGTGTTTTGGTATCAAGAAATGTTAAAAATGTGGTCAAAATGTCGAGGATGGCTTTTCTTATTGCAAAACTAAACAGCACAATAATTATCAAATTAAAATCATAGTAAAATATCTCCTCTCCTGCGAACAACACAGTGATTTTGACAAAGTTCAGAATCCACAATTCGTCTGCATGAAGAACGTTTTATCACTGCATTGCATTATTAAAAGTGTGTATTATGGATTTTTGCAACAATGTCCTGATTGAAGACTTAAATACGTGTGAGACTGTGCGTGTGTGTGCATGCACACGCACGTGTGTGTTCCCTTCAGGTCTGAGAGTTGAGGGTATGGGGGCAGTTAAGCCTCATGCAGAGGGAGCGACCGCTAACATCTTTCCAGTCAACTGTTTTGAATTACAAACCCCCACTGGGATCCAAGCCTGCAAAAAGAAAAACGCTTCCTGCGAAACAGTGCGCGAGAGAGAGAGAGAGAGAGAGAGAGAGAGAGAGAGAGAGAGAGAGAGAGAGAGAGGTTGAGGCAGTCCAGGCGTTTGCAAGCACAATGAATAGCAGATGTTAAAAAAGAAAAAAAAAATCCCGCTGCCTCCCACCTCTACGGGATTTTGTGCGGCTGTCGGACCGTAAGCTGCAGAACTTGGCAAGAGTGGTGTGTGTCCGACACATGACCCAGTGCGGAACTCCGGATTTGGTGGGGTTAAAAAGGAGAAAAGAGGAGAAGGAAGGGCAGACAGCTGGACTGCCCTATACGCATGCCACACACACACACACACACACACACACACACACACACACACACACACACACACGTGAGGCAGCCCACAGAAGAGGCTGGACACATACTGAAAAGGTGGAAAATATTTCTCATGTCTGAGGCTTGACATTGGTAGAATTTCTCTTCTTCCTCTCTTATGTGCCACAAATTACAGAAGAAATATTATATATTAACAGCATTTGAGATTAATGCAGTAAAAAATAATTTTACAGTTTATGTATAAGGTATTTATGACTCACAGCCCAAAAATCTTGCTATACCAGCATATCAAGTCTTTTTCATCTAGAAATTTGCATTTTGGAAGTTTCTGATTAGGAACGTGCTTCATAAAATGCAGTGCAATGGACTACAGCCTCCCAGTGACGACTAGTGGCACTGCAGAGAACGGGAGCACAGTGTCACCACACATCTTTAGCCCACACCTTACACAGGATTCTCCCACTGCAGTGTCACATCTTTTAATGCAGAGGCAAAAAGGTGCCTTGATAAGTAGCCTTAATAAGACTACCTATCAATGTTTTCATCACATTTATTATGCTATGTAAAGATGATCTAACAAAGCCCTAGTTTTAAGCCTTTAGTGTTACAAACTACTATTTTATGGACAGCGATATGTAGTGAAAATAAGTGAACACATCCTCTACAGGGAACAAACTTTACAATTTAATGCACATCTATTTATTTTATATGGGGGAAATATTTAAACATGCCATAACTTTTGCATAGGTCACATTTTGTGCTTTTCTAGTTTAAATTCAGCAAACAAATAGCAATTGTGCATTAAAATGTGCAGAAGTGTGTTGGCTTATGTGTCAACTTAGTTTCACTTTTGCATATGACCTCACTTCACACTTTGATCATTATTTAGATTAAACAAGTCAATAAGCTTTTAGTGATCTGAATTCTTTTCCATGTTTTCCATCTATGTCAGAATGTCTCAGAACCATGGACGGATCTAGACCAGGGCTGTCTAAACTTTCTGTTGTGAGACCAATTTACAATGTTTGTGGTGGGCCGAGTACCAGAAAGACCAAACAATATAGAAATAAAGACGGTAGGCAGGTTTAAATTTGAGTTTTACATAGTTGTGAATAGTATGAAAATACGTTTGTTATCTCTTTGGGTGAGGGGGGGTGGGGTTAGGGTAACATTCATGTGGGCCAAAACAAACATTCTCAAAGGCCAACATTAGGCAGCTCTGATCTACATAAAAGAAAGTTCAGTACTGCGCAAAAGGTTCAGCTACCTGAGAAAATATGAATTATAAAGCAATTTAAGTGGGCAGTAGGGTTTATTTAGTCGAACATTAGATCGAGAAATTTGGAACCGAATGTTGTTCCTCAAATTAGCTTACAAAGTATCAACTACATTTTTCAAAATTTAAAATTCTTGTTACTTTTTATTGTAATCATGTTCATTTGCATCTCCTCTAGTGACACATAGTGTTTGTACAAGCAAAAACACACTTAATGTCAAGATAAACGGTTTTAATCAATGTGCTTAGGTGCCTACGACTTTCACACAGTACAAACTGTACACGTAGATGAAACAAGAGAATATTACCTTTAAGTTTGTGCATTAGGTCATCATCATCTGAATCGCTGTCTGAATCAAAAAGACCTTTGAACTCCTTCTTGTCTTCATTCTTTTCTTGAAGCTTCTTGCGCTTGATTTCAGGGAAGTTCAAGTCTTCCATCTTTAAAAATAGGAATAAGAAAATGAACAAAAAGCATCCAGACATTAGCGAAGGAAACTATACCTGCAAGTTTCCCAAAAAAACTCCTCAAACATCAAACACACAGTTAAGCACTATTTTAGTCATTACTGTTATTTCTTTCGACACTATGTCGTTGTATATGTTTTGCACAGATGGAGTAGCATTTATAGTAATCATTTCTCAAAAGTTAGGATGCTTATACTTTAGTTTCCACCATCAACGTAATGTGGTTAATTTTAGACTTTTGAATATTTAGACTTTTATTTTTTTCCTCTAAAAACCAGTGATGTCCAGCAAACAAAGAGCTAAAACAAAAAAAGTTACAAATATCCTCAAACCACCTTTTAAAGCAAAACGATTTCCACCAGGTTGAAAACTTCATCAATTCTCATTCTTTCTATGAAGAACTAATAACGTTCCTCATACAAATAATTGCTGAAACTTGAGCGCGTGTGGAGCTTAACGAAAGTGTTATGATGGAGGTGGCGGCAGGCGGCTCCAGTGGCACGAGGAGGAGGAAGGAGTAATCAGATCCGGGTGTGGAGCTGCGGATCAAAGCCTGGGCAGCAGCCCTGAGCACTCTAATACTCTTCCTGTAGCCCTCGCTCTCCTCACACACCCGCCCGTCCGCCTCCTCCGCCAATCTGCCGCTTCCCCGACGCCAACACTCCGCCTGGTGTCATCTCCATTATCTCCCTATGGACACGCTCCAACTCCAGCACTCACACACACAGACAGACACTGGTTTTCATACCTTGCCAGGACCTGGGGTCATACATGTCTCATATGTAATTTTACCTACATCTATTTGTAAATAAGAATTTTTCTAATCACCAGCTCTGTAAGAATTTTTTTTGTTTTAGTGGTCATTCAAGTCCTGCAACTGGATTATCTTCTACCCAACCTCCCCAGTCTCCTCAATTTCTCTCTTAGGCATTTTAGATGTACATGAGAAGGAAACCGCAAGGCAGCTGAGGTGTGTTTGGTTAGCTGCTTGTGTGAATACGTCTCTTTAAAGGGGAACACAAAGGCAGTGACACTTTTAAAGAACACTTGGTTGAAAGGACACATCTGTTACTGGTTTTAAGTAGGGCTGCAACAAACTATTAGATAGTTAACCAATATATTATTCGAATATTCAATAAATAATAATACATTTTCAAAAATGGAATTTTTCCATTCGAATAACCAACAAGTTTACCATTTTTATGAACCTGGGCACTTCGGTAGGGAAACAAATGTTTATTAAGCTAAATTCTAGCTTTTCACCAGCAGCACACAGCTGCCAGCACTGCACACTCGACTCAATGTGGACTCATTTGGCACAGCTAGCAGTGCTAGTTGACAGTACGGGTTTTAACTCCAAGTGCAGCTTAGACAAGTTTCCTGTTTCTACCGATTGCTTGCTAGCTAGCCAGTAGGCTCCCAGCTGCTTTTATTACTGAGAATAAACAAAAGCATCTCAGCTAACCAGCTGTCCAGAGCTGTCGGGAAATTATTTAGGCTGCACCGGGTGCTGCTGGGTTTAGAATGCGCTCCGGCATGAAGCGGTTTCCGGCAGTTAAATTATTTTATTTTTTACTTAATTATAATGGTTAAAAAAAGACAAAGATAATGGTTTCTGCTCTTTGCCACCACTCAGCGCCATCCAGAGTCAGATCAGGGTTGGGACTGCTACAAAATAATTCTTTATTACTTACTGATGCCCCCCCATTATCTTGTAGTTACCTTGTAGTTCTATTACCATTCTGTTTTATTAAACAGCAAAAAATACAATTTCTGGAATAGTGTAAAGTAAGTAAATACATAATTAAGCTAAAAACATTTGGCTTTATTCGGGAGGTTTTTTTTAGTTCTTGAAAATGAAATGTCTTTTGTTAATGTTAAAGAATATTTAAATACTCAACAAAATATGTGATAGAGTATTCAAAAACAAAATTATTAGATAGTTGCTGCCCTAGTTTTAAGATTGGAAGAGTTAATGTGGCAGTAGGGTATACATACAGATACACACTCCCTCCCCCACCCCCTGACACAGAAAAATGAATAATTAATAACTTGGATGGCCTGTTATGACTAAAGAAGGTGTGGCATGCTCACTGCTATAGCTTTTGTAAAAAGTATTTTACCGCAGCAGAACCATATGGCTGGTCCCGGCAAGGCAGGTTATCCCTGCGCTTCTATTTTCCCTACATATGTATTTACCAAGGGACGTGAAGCAGTATGTTTGGAAATGGGAAGATTTAAGAGAGTTTTAATAAAGCAGAGCCGATTCACATCATATGGCTTCTTTTTCACAAGCCAGACCAAAAGTGCTGATCCAAGACCTGCTGTCAAAGTCACCAAACCTGATGTCAAAGTCTGCTGTCATTAGAGGTCTGACCGTGTACTCTGTGTTTGGAGCTGCTTTTTGCCTTAACCTGGTATGTGAAATGGGGGTACTTGTTTAGGAGGGCCAGTTTGGAGATACTTACCCTTTCTTTTCCAGAAATCTCCAGCTGAATCTCCTTCTCTCTGAGCTTCTTCCACTGGCTGAAGTACTTCGTTAGAGGAGTTCCTTCCTCCGCTACCTGCTTCTCCCACACAGCCTGCATCACACACGCAAACACACATAAACAGCACGAAACACACAAAAACAGCAAACATCACTACAGAGCTAGCATCAATAAATAATAATAAACAGCAAGACACGGAAGGCTCATTGGGCTGGTGTGGACACTATGAAAGGAAAAGTACAGCATTCATCTCATAGTTTGGAAATAAAAGAGTTTGCTGTAATGCATGAACATTGTTAATTTCAAAACATACCATTCACTCCTCAGTCCACATATGAAAACTAAGCCACAAAAACAGCCCATATTTAGTTCAGTGTTTTCATGATGTCATGAAAACCAATGCATTTACATATATTCATCTATTCAGCACACAGCAGTTTAGTCCCACCCACTCACACTGAGGTTATGAGGAGTGTTTCAGCCTAGACAGCTTTTTGAACGAGGCCCAATACCAGGCAGCCAGTTAGAATAGAGATCATTTGAACACAGCAGTCTTAAAGGCACAGTAACAAAGATACACCGATTAATTCTAAGGAATAAAGAGAACTTGGAAAATCTCGTAAAAATGAATTATGCTTTTTTAGTGCATATATCATACATTATAAATGGAAGTACATAAAAAGTGCAATATAAGTAAAATAAAGCAAATAAAGTAAATAAGATTTGGGCCCTTCATTTTTAAAAATGATATATTTCAAACTATGATTTTGTCTCGATTCTACTCAATGCTAAATTGAACCAGTGATACAAAGACATGAGCAGGACAACTAAATAGTGAGTTTAGGATCATGTAAAGGAGTGTGCGTTTAATTTAAAAAACAAAAAAAAAAGAAAGAAAAAAGAAAGAGAGAGTCAGCAGGGTGGGCGAGAGGATTTTTCTCAGCCTCCCCTTAAAGGTCTTCGTGGAAGATATTGATCAGGTCAAATAAGATTAGCTGACCTCCAAATCCAATAGACCATAATAGATCTGGGCTTCCGTCATCAGTTATCTAAACTTATTTATTACAATTTGCAGTGGTTTGTCGGATAGTGAAAAACGATCAAAGAGTGAAGAGAGTGTAACACGCTCCTCCAGGTCTGAAAACAAACTCAAACGAGGCTGGAATGCTGTGCAGATAACGAGAGGCTCAGTTTTTTTGTAGAGCATTTTCACTGTCAGTATAAGCTCAGCTATCACAAGGTAAAACTACAATGGAATGCACAAACTCCAGCTGTCAGTCAGAATGCATTACGATGACCAAGTCCAGACCTACACTACCATTCAAAAGTTTGAAATCACTGTTCAAATGTTTGGAACCAATGTTTTCGGTAATATGAAACAAGTGTGGTTACATGCACGCGTATAAAATGATTCAAAGAACTAGTCAGACACTATGAAGCTGTAAATGAAAAATTCCTAAATTTTAGATGTGTTCAGAATGCTGAACAGAGCTGCAAAGTGTAAAATGAGTAAGCAAGCTGTATAACAACGAGAATTAAGTTACAATAAAATTAATATCCAGAATTCATCATTACAAATCTCAAGGTAGATAATTTTTTTCTTGAGTAAATAGATAATTACAGCGTTTTATATACCATTTAATTTACCTTTGTTATAGAATACTTGACATATTCAAAGAAATACATATAAAAAAATTGCGATTAGTTTGTAATACTTAAATCCACATTGTACATGTTATTACTGTACAGAAAATAACAAAAATTTTCAGTATGGCAAGTGCTTCCCAACTTTTGAAAGGTAGTGTAAAACTTCAATGATTTCCGGCTGAAATCAATTATCCATTACAGCTGAAATGATCCATTACAGCTCAAATAAACAATGGCCGCTGTAGAGCTGGACCAGCATGCACTTCCAGCGCCGGGCAGGGCGGAGACGGGCCGAAGGTGGCTTTAATTAAATTTCAGCTGTTTGTCGGACAGATCACCGGGGCAGGGGGCCAGGAAGATGTCCTGATGTGGCAGCGCTGGCCACAGAGCTGCTGAAAAGGTTGCTGTGCCAGGCGGGCCACTGAAGGACATCTCTCCTGCCTCCCAGAGCCGGCGACAGACGCGCCCCGGAGCGGTGCCATGCTGTCTGCCTGCGCACAGCCGCCTCTACCCCTCCTCCCCCCCTACCCCAGCCTTCTACATTACAGTGAGAGAGTAAAAGAGAGAGAGAGAGAGAGAGAGAGAGAGAGAGAGAGAGAGAGAGAAAGACAGAGAGAGAGCCCCCCCATCCCATCCCTCCTTCATTTCACTCTTAAACGGTCTTAAATATTTATCAGCCCTAAGAGCAGAAGGTCTGAGTAGGAGGGAAGAGAGGAGGGGAGGACAGGACGGGGTTAGCTCCGGCAGGGTGACGAATGAGAGTGGAGATGAAGATGGATGCGGCGTGCCGCTCGTCCTGGAGAGGAAACGGCTCTGTGCTTCTCCTCACGCCCTGCACGCTAAGCTCGTCCCTCTGTCTCAATCTGTTCCTGTAAGCTCTCTCTTTCCAAACTACTCCTGACACTAGGCCTGGGCGCAAAAAGAACATTTTTCAGATATCAAATGCACATTTAAGGTATTTACAATAATGTCACTCTGCTGCCCAAACCAGTATTAGCTGCAAAGGCTTCAACTTTAAACAATTTTAGCCCAGTAGGTGGCAATATGCATGTTAATTGACAGGCAGGGAGGGAGAAGTCTAGCCATTCACTTACAACAGCATAATCCAGAAGAATTTTCAGCACTGAAATTACAGCTCTTTAAAGGGTAACAGTCTCAAAGTAGGAGGAGACAGTAGCCATGTTTACATGCAGCCTGATAATCAAATAATCGGACTACGTCCAATTGAGGCCATTTGGAATACAATTTCTATGCAATTGAACAAGGTGGTTAATCCTGTAAATAATCTGTTAAATAGAAGAATAACAGCCATGTTAATGCCTGTATCTGATAACATTCCCAATCGGAAAGTGTAAGTGCGTTCTGTGCATTCAAAGTGAAAGTTTATAATGTTCAACATGGCAGAGCAGAAACTGGTCTGCAGAGGTGACGAACATGGCGGTGGGGCGGAAATTTTTACTGGGTCTGACAATTTTAAAGCAATTAAAAACAGAGGTGCGCCAGCTGAAAACTCAGATAACACACTGCTGCTCCTCTCACTCTGACTGGACTCGTGATGCTCTTTGTCATGGTAACGTCTACACTAAGTGGCACATGTAAACTGAGATTTTCCATCAGATTGTTGAGTGCACATAAACACCTCGTTCTTAATCTATAATCGGAACGAATTCAATCGGACTGGTAAAAAGTTCCAAATCACTGTTCATTACTGTTCACTCTCTAGTGCGTGCAGTCTATAGCTCCCAAGTTAAACACGAACACATTTACACATCAGCCTTTTTAGCCTTTAGAAGTTTAGCCCCACACACTGCTTTTTAGTCCGGACTGCTATTTTAATAAAGCAGAATATATGGCAGCCAATCAGAACAGGGGTCAGTCTTAAAGCAGCAGTACCAAAAATAGCCTGATCAAACATGTAACTTGATCAGGGAACCAGGGAATATTAAAAGATATGGTTAAAAAATATCTTATCCACTATATGTCAGCAGTACCCTGGCAGTACACACAAGGTACGCACATGACCCCTAACGGGGCAAGTTTCCGAGAGGCTGCTGGAAGAAGCCCTTGATAGCTGCTGTACTTCCTGTTCCCTCCTCCTCCTCATAGAGTGAAATGCTGTTAGTAAGCTTTCCCACCCGTCTGCCTACACATTATCTGCTGTGTTCCAGTATGCATTACTGAGCCGGGGTCAATCTGCTGCCGCGGCTTTCGTACGTCTCTGGATGTCTGGAGAGCAGGAATCTTCAAACTAATCACCGCAGCCAGCAGCCCCATGCTGGACTAGCCATGAAGCAGGGCATGCACACATGCACAGACACACAAACATGACTGCATTCCTCAGTGGGAGACTGTGGGTGGTGGTGGTGACCAGCTGACACCTGTATACGATGGAGCGGCTGGGTGAGGCTGTTGTGGATGGGTGGTATGGGCTGGAGCAGTGGGGACTCCGGCATGTTTTTACGACTAAAACCGGCCTCTCCCTGTCTCAGTCTGGACAGATGGGGTCACAACGTCTGGCCATGAAAGTGGTTTGAATCCACAGAGAAAAGCAGGCCAGTCGAGGTTTTAAGGAGGATAATAATAAAATAAATGGAGATGACATGCTGCGTACTGGCTTCGTTCCTTATCGAACTAAAAGCCAATGCAAATGTCATGACCAAGGGTACACCACCAAGCTGTAAGAGTGAAGGCTTTAAGCTGCACGCATGCTCTCTGTCTGTGCATTAAAGAGGAGGTCAGACACGACGAACCAGAAATATCAAGGCTGCAGGTGCAGAAGGCCAAACCAAGCTAACCATGAGGTGTTATAAATACACGCACAAAGGTGTGTGTGTGTGTGTATAGGGTGTAAATTCAGAGCGGTGTGGCGTGGCACGCTCGCTGACGGGAAAAACCAAAGGTATGTTCAAGAGCTGAGGCGTCAGGGCCTCAAACAGCGCAGCAGGCCGATGGCCTGGCAAACACACACAAATACGCACATGCATACTTACCACAGCCATAGCGTCAGCTACACCAAAAGCAGCCTTCTGTCTCCGGCTTGTGATGTGGCTGCAGTTCTCCTGTACCTTCTCCAGCAGCTGGCGAATCTGCTTGCAGTAATTGGCCACTTTGCATTCTTTCAGGAAAGCTTTCAGCTGGAGGCAGGGAGAGACGGAGAGAGGAAGAGAGGTTAGGATAAAGGATCAGTACTTTCAGTTCCATTCCACTACAGTTGATTTATACTCTAAACAACCCTAACGAAAAAGTACTACAGTAATACTACAGGAATCTACAGCAATCCTATAAGAATCTTACAATATATTCAGACAGTTAGCAATATAGGCCAACTCATGACTGACTGCTTCATAGTTTCTTTACGGTGGGGGTGATAGGAACCAGGGGTCACAATGTCTACAACTCAAATATAGAAATTGTATTTACTGTCCAAAACCACCAGTGAATCTACATGTGTTTTCTGAGTTTTTGTATGCAATGCTGACAAATCTAAACAGTAAATCAGTTTTCTTGGGGGACTATTTTGCCTCACAAAACCCTGCATGGCAACCTCTCTGCCATAAATGGATTTTGAAAAATATATTAAATACACAAATCTTACTGTACAGTAAACTATCATAAAATGATGTCTCAATCAGCAGGCAGTGCAATCATAACCATTTCATCTAATTCGTTTCTAAGAGGTAGCTTTTAGAGGTAGTAAGCTGGTTCCTATGACCACCGATTATACTCCGTAAGTTTCTATCGAACAGTGGTTTGACGCTTCACATCAAACCACTCTGAATTACTTTGTTTATATATTAGTAATTGAATTATGCAGAATTTTTGAAAAAAAAAAAATCACTGGAATTTCCCTTTAACATTTTAAAAACTTTACCTTGAACACTATGTTCCAACAATTTCCATATTTTATCTATATTTTCTGTATTTTTTTATTTTCTTTCTTGTGAAGGGAGGTGCAAATACCTTAAAGTGCAAAATACCTTAGTACATTCCTGTGTGTGAAACAAACAAAAGGCAAAAGATGACAAAAAGGTTCAACCCTCCAGCTCTTTCGAAGTGCTATTATAAACAGTAGCCACAATTATTTCAGAGATATTTGTAGGCCACTGTGTGGTTTAAGGTAGTGGTTCTCACAGGTTAACTCTAGACCATCACAAATTGTTGCTGAGACATATATTTGATAAAATATGTCTGTGAATGACCTTAGTCTTGGATACACTATAACAGATAATAAAAAGACTGGGTATTTCTCACTGGGTATACGACTGCAGATTTTTTGGACTGACTGAAATATCGGGAACCACACATTAAACAACTTAGGATCACACCCTACACAATGTTTAAACTGTTGCTGAACGGAACCGAACTTGCGCATTCTCCCATTACTGGGACACACAAACAAACAAACAAACAAACGTTTTGTTGTGTGGTAGTTTTTAGAGTATTAGATGTGAATGCGTCCAACTGTGCTCTGCTCGGTTCATTAAAAAATAAAAGCTGTACTATACTTGAGTGTCTGTTCGCCATTTATTTGTAAATGTTAAGTTAATGTTAAGTAAATCTCCGCATTTAACCCATCCATGCAGAGAAACACCACATACACACTAGCGAATGCAAACACACTAGGGGGCAGCGAGCACACTTGCCCAGAGCGGTGGGCAGCCCTATCCGCAGCGCCTGAAGAGCAGTTGGGGGTTAGGTACCTTGCTCAAGGGCACTTCAGTCACATACTGTCGGCTCAGGGGATCGAACCGGCGACCTTCCGGTCACAGGGCTGGTTCCCTAAACATTTGCTTCTTTCATGCTCTCAGTTTTCGTTGACTGCTGGAGAAATCCAATCAGACTGAGTCATTGATCAGTATACACTACTACATTACGCTCAAACTAAGTAAAAAATCAAACGTTCGATACACTCGGACTGGTCCAAAACATGACTGGGAGGCAAAACAAAGTCTCCACCCCTTGCACACTACTCGATTTGCTCTCCCAAGTGTCGGTTCTGACTGCCTGAAATTCTGCAGACTGAAGCACAGGCTCGGCCAGACTGAGAATCAGGGCTAAAAATGTGGTAAGTCCTGTAGCGTAACTACACATGTTGCCATAAAATCTTTCAGCCCAATTACATCTTGTAGTCATTATAAGTAGCTGCATGAGTGAAGGTGCCTGCTGAACACACACACAAAAAAAAAAATCCCACTGGAAGTTTCAGCTACACAGCTATCTTTCCTAAAGTTTATGTTTATTAAGTGATGCTGCTTCATTTACAAAGACCGAGTTGCAAAAGTGCTGATGGATGTTTGAGAAGTTGTTGATTGGATTTTTCATTTCTGATGCTGTGTTTCTGTGCATTTGGTAGCTGCTGTGTGATATTACTAACTAGCAACTTAGCATGTGGGCAGCAGAGCTAATCTACCAGCATTAATCTAAGTCCAAGTCCCCTGTGTGCACAGAAAATGTGAAAAGACTGCTTTAGTGTTTCAGGGTGAGTCAGGGGTTGCAGCTAAAACACACTGAGATGTAGTGATATGAGTTGGAAATAGGGCTGCAACAAATGACTAATCTGATAGTCGAATAGTCTATCGATTACTGACACGAACAATCGATTATTCGGATTATGAATCACTACATTACCCAATATCTTTTATGTAGCCATTAGCTTTTAAATTTAGCTTGAGGTTGTTTTATGCATTTGCTAATTAACAATGAAGACAATAAAGATGAATAACATTCAAGAATTCACTGTATGAATGAACTGCTCTGCTAATACAAAAGATAAATAAAACCCCAATGTATTTTTCCTGTAGAAAATGCATAACCAAGGATGCGAAAAGTAGCAATGAAATATAACAAAAATACATTTGCTGCAACTAAAGTTTACAAATCACAGGTCTTTATTGAAACGGAGGAAAGTCAGCACCTCTGTGCGCTCCTGCCAGAGTCTCGCTCTCCTCTGAGAGCAGATACTCCCCGCTGCAGAGGAGACGCGCAGTGATGGAGCGGAAGGGAAAGTGGAGTACAGCATGTTTGTGGAAAACTTGTTCTTTGTGAACAGTTAAATTAACGATTTTGTGAAAACTTTCATTTCAACGGTAACCCTTCGTCCAGCTGCCCTTGGTGTTCGCAGAGAAAAACCTCCTTAAACTGTTAGCGAGTGGAGCTAAACATTCGCGGAGAACAGAAACCTGTTTGGAAACGCTCTCCTGTGTTCGCCGAATCTGACCACACTGGTGGCCTTGACTTTAAGATGACGATGCAGTGTTTAAAACTGTAAACGTTATCTGGAAAGTGAACAGAGTCGCTGTGAATAATAGTTACTTGCTTCTCTGTTCCAAACTCCATTAACGATACCAGAGAACCTGCATTTAAAAATGTTCCAGCTCAGCTCAGAACATAAAGGACGGAAATTAACATTAACATTAGCGAACTAGCTACACACTCCTGTACTTCACACACTACACTAATGAGTGCACTTGTAATGGTATATGCGCTATTTTTACACACTATTTAGTGAGCTTGTATGTGATTTGGGACGCGGCGTGTCTTCTCGAGATGAATCTTCTTCATCCAGTGAACCGACAAGTTTCCTCTTCAGATGTTCCAACATGGAGGATGTGCTCCCATAGCCAGCTAAGGTCAGCTTTACAAATAGCACAACTGACAACCTTTTTTCCTGAGTTTCCTTGTTCTTGAGGCTGCCATCACGCTGTTGTTAAGTCTCCAGCGAGCGGTAATGTTAAAACGTTCCTAATGAGCGCGAGAAAGACGTGTAATGACGTCACCAACTAATCGACTACTAAATTAGTTGCCAACTAATTTGGTCGTCGATTTTAGTCGAATAAGTCGAATAATCGTTGCACCCTTAGTTGGAAATGCATTTTAATCGAGCTTTCTGAATGGTCATTAGTGGGTTAACTGTCCGATCATACAGACTGACTAGCCGTGAAACCGTGACACTGTCACAACTTCACAAGACACTACAAAAGTACTATTAATTACCACAAGACTATCATATGGAGGGATGTGCTGATATGGGATCAATGTCAATATCTATTATTTTTCATGTACATATCTGCCGATGCCAATGCACAAACATTAGGCCTGTCACAATTATTACATTATCGTCCAATCACAATCATTTGAGATGATCATAATGTTTGAAATGATCGAAATTATTTAAGCTGACTAATCTCTTATCTCGCATCTTTCATAGTCGTTAGATTTTTGTCCTAGTATAGTGCCACAAGTTAAATGTAAATTGAGTGAACTGGGTTGAGGCAAATAAATGTAAATAAAATAAAGTAAATGTACTCAGTGGGAAATCATGGTGCTTACGGAAAACTCATCTAAACTAACATATAACTTGGTACATGTTTTGAGGGCTGCACTGAGAAATGCATGCTTATTTGTTAGCTATGTAGCTAATTCAACATTTTCAGCTGGTATGCTGATAGAATGTGTTTCTTTCTTATATTTTCCATCTCGTGAACATGAAGCTCCACACACTGTTCTGTGTAACTGTAGTCATTTCCACAACAAGTGTTAGCTATTAAGTAAACATGGGTAGCAGATAAGGTGGCAAATCAGCCAATTTGGTACCATTAGGCTTGGACCCCAACAGCTGCAAATGAACAAAAAAAAAGACAAAATATAAATCTCAATTATTTATTTGACAGCTAGTCATCAGCTAAAATTTGATGACTTCATAAAAGTTCATCAAATTTAAAAATTGGGACTACATCTACCTGCATTAGCATGATGGATAAATGTAATGTCTATTTGTAGAGAATTACAAATACAGTAAAATAAATAATATTTTAGCGCATCAGCCTAACATCTAAATACTGTCCAAAAAAAAAATCAGCAAATATTGGTGAAAGATATCCATAAAATCATGACATCTGGCTTACGGTAATGTTCATTTAAGTAAATATCTGCCGAGACCAATATAATTCCGCTATTACAGTGCAGCCCTAATTATTACAGTATTATACAGAACTACAGAAAATCTTAGCTTCCTGCTGTACAACTACAGTTCTTATGTGAAAGTGCAGGGCTGTCACCTCAAAATGAAATAAACTGAAACAACTACATTTATGGAAAAAACTACACCCTTGAAAAATAACTGAACCCTTTCATGCCTTCATTGGTAAATAACCAACAAAAAAAATATTTTTAAAGATGTTTACTAAGAACTGTTTTACCTAAAAATGTGGACACCATGTAGAGAAAGTGAGAAAAGTGTCTATTTAAAATGATAATTTTTAATGTTTTGGCATTTGGCTGAAAAGGCCATATTGAAGGCCGTATTGCTTTAAAAAAAAGAAAAAAAAGCATAAGCGTGTTCCAACAATAAAACTCAGGGATTAGTCGACGGCAGCCATTAAAAATACCCGCATGAATCATCCCAGGCCAAAGGAATAAATATTCAAAGCATGACTTTTAACAGCACTGTGGAGGCCTGAGTTTTGGCCAAAGAGCAGGATGTGGCCTGTGTGTGTGTGTGTGTGTGTGTGTGTGTGTCTATGAATGAGCGAGGAGCGGTGGTGCTGCAGAGAGATGCTGGACTGCAGCCTGCTGTTGGAGTCTGTGAGGGCTGAGAGTAGCTGGACTGTGTGTGTGTGTGTGTGTGTGTGTGTGTGTGTGTGTTTGTGTGTGAAGCCTGTGGCTGGGTGTCCCAGGCTTGGCCCTCAGCGCCTCTCAAACAGGATGTGGGTCCAACAGTCGCCACCGCGATAAAAGAAGAGAAGGAGGAGGGGGGAGACCAAAAAAAAAAAAAGACGAGTCACTAAAGAAGCTTACATTTACCTAGGCCTTCACTCACTTACATAGGCCTTCGACAGAGACCCGTCTCTGCATGGGGTTCACAGTTCAGAGCTCTTCAAAACCATTTAAACTAGCTTATAACATGAAAACAAAAAGAGTACATTAACTGAAAGGACACCAGAGAGAGTGAGAGAGAGAGAGACAGAGAGGGAGGGAGTGAAAGAGAGAGACAGAGAGAGAGGGAGTGAGAGAGAGAGAGGTGATGTGCATGGTGTACCTGGATAATGGTAGGCAGAGCAAGCTCAGGAAATCCAACGGTGTGGGCCTGGGTGTGGAAGTACTCCAGTATGAGGTCATACAGCTGCTCAATCAGGCCATCCTGAAACACACGCACCAATATATACTTATTACACTCAGCAGTTAAATAAAGCTGAACTGCCTAGACATTCACAGATAAAAAGTAATAATTAGAAAAGTACAACTGATGTTTCTATATTTCATTGTGAAAAGAAAAAACAACCATAGACGAATAAAGAAAGAAAGAAAGCCATTGTTCACTATGGGTGTGCTTTGCTGCAGTACAGCGTGCAAAAAACAATAGTCTCCAGTTGGTCATTTTGCATATCAGTCAAATACAGCTTTCCAGTCAAAATAGGCATTTTTCTTGGTCACACTGAGTGATAAAACCAGAGTGTGACCTTATCGATTGCCCAGGACAAGTAAAATAGTAAGTCATGGGACAGCAGTGTGGAAAATCACTTACCCAGACAGGACTCCACCATAGACTGATCACACACCCCTTTACCACCACTGCATGCTTACACTTAAACCTCTTTAATTATCTGAGTGCTGCCCTGAGACCTCAGTCTTTCTGTACAATACACAGCTGACAATGTTTGGGCTCACATGCCATTTTGATGCCAACCCATGTATATATATGTATGTATGAGGCCCATTTGTATATATTGTTCTGTATATATTGTCCTGTGTATTTAAAAATCTGTTAATTTATTGTCTGGTATATTTATTGTAGGTGTATATTCTGCACTTGTTTCACATTGTTGTGTATCTGTACTCTACGTAGTCCAGTTTAATGTGCTCCAGAAGAGCATCATTTCGTTCCAATGTATACAAATTATATTAAGTAATGACAATAAAGACCAATTGACTTGATTTTCAGTCTTGGGATGTTTACTATCTTTAGCTTTCATAGGCAAACACCACCTCACCACAGGAAAAATGGTCTAATCCAGCTCTGCATCAACTAATATCTAGCCAATCGCATTGTTTGCTGGTAATCACCTGTAGCGGTTGGAAGGTTGAACTAGGAAAATGCATTAACAGCGCTAATAGAAAATATATCAACTCTGTTATAGAGGGTGAACATTCAGGGAAAATATTAAACATAGAACCTTGAAAGCTAACCTAGCTTTGTAACTAGTCGAAAGTTACTTTTGTATGCCATGTATAACATTCTCAGCTACAAATACTTTTTAATTCAGAAATATAATACTGGCAATCACAAGACTTAAAACTCTCCTTTACGACACAATGTGCATAACTGCATATCAGCTGTTGAGGGGTGTGACTCCGAGGAACTACAGCTTGGCACCAAAATCAGATTAACCTGCACCTGTCACCTGCCGCCCTGTCCCACTGGAGCCTACCTCGCCCAGCATTGCTCACAATGCCTGGCAAACCCACATCCTGCTAATCCTGACCCGGTGTGGGCTCAGGATTGGAACTAAAGCCTCTCGACAGCCCTGTAACGCTTGCCCACTGTGTCTGTGCACATGCCTTCACTGTGGAAAGTCCCTGTGCTGATGACCGGGACTGGGGGCGAGGGGTAAATTTAGTAACGCGACCCATGGGTGGAGCGCAGGCTTAGGGACCTGTTTCTGACGTACAATGGAGCTGGGTGGCTACAGCAAAAGCTTGCCCTGCCAAATGGGAGAGCAGGATAATCCCCACGGGCCGTGTGGCAATCCTCTTGGCAAAGGCCCGGCGCGCTGCTTTAGCCACTGTAGCGGCATGTTCAGGCTTTCATCTCCTAACCCCAATCCAGTTATGGCCAGCCAGCGTGAAGACACGACAGCCTCAGACAGGCACGAGAGGAGCACAGCGAGAGAAAGAGCTGATTTCTTATCTTTCTGCTCCTAAATGTGATTCATGCGACTGGCAAGAAATGGTAAACTTTAACTGATGTATAAAATGAATCATCAGCTACATAAGCGCTCCAACCCACTATTATTTGCAAAAATGTAACAGGTAGCAACAGTGACCTTTCTCAACAGGCAAAACTGATGCAATCTCAGTGTAGCAAGATGGAGCATCAGAGTGAGACACTGGTGTGTGAATAAAAGCCATGCCAAGCTGTGAACTATCACAAAACAGAGCCAGCAACCATGCAGTGATGGCTTTCTTCACACTTTAATCTTAGTTTACAAAAATTCTCTCTGCATGCTATTCAAACAATGTAAATGGTCTGACAAATAAGATTACATTCTGAGTGGCATTCAAAGTATAGAAAGAATGAAGCTGCCTGTAAGCTGAGACGGGGGGAGCTCTCACCTTGAAAGCCTTCTCCTGCAGGTTGGTCTTGCTGAGTTTGAGGATCACAGCAAAGTTAATGGGTTTGACACTCATGCGTCCTGGTTTTTTATTGAAGTCTTCCTGCTGAAGAATCTGAGAAAACAAACAAACAAACAAAGGCCTTAGCTTGCCAACCATCTGGAAACAAACACAAATAAACAAGGACAAACAACAAAAAATCCATACCAAGATACCTTAACAAAGGATTGCAGAAAGAACAGACCTGAAATGCCATTTTCTTTGTAAATTTTGGCTTTGCAAAAAGTACCAAACAGCTACATAACATAGGCTTTTTTTTTCTGGAACGTCATGATTATACCGAAAACAAACAGGTGTCACTCAGCTCACATTGTGGAGAACACTGAGTACGGGTGGGCATCTCTAAGCACCTTACAATTCAAGATGCCAAGACGCAATTACAAAATAATTCTTAATGCAACTTAAAGTTTTATTTCTGTAGCCTAAATTATATTTTTTTCCTCTGTATTTGTCATTAACAAGCTTAGTTGTATGTCAGTGTAACCTATATGCAGCACAAGTGTGTGTCTGTAGGACTCCTGGACTATGTAATGTGTTTAATTTGTTAGATTTTGGAATTAAGATTAACAGAAAATATATTTGAAGATTGGAAGAGCAGCCTTTTCTTACTGAAACATTTCATACCCAAAATTTCTGAAGTGAATACTATCCTGTACACAGTGTGCTCCTTCAATCAGGCTGTGCCAAAGCATCCTATTTTACTATGTCTCTGGGCAGTAGGAGAAAGAGTCTATATAAGAATCTGATTATCATGTTTTGTGAATTAACGTTGAACCTTATTAGAGAGAACTGTGATGCATCAAAGAATTAATTATATATTGACCATTTTGCTACAAAACCTGTCTCAACATGACTTAAATATGTCCAGGACAACTGCAGGACACCATCAATCCAAACCATTGCAGGCCAGATCTGATCTCCAAGTCTTGAATTTGGCATTAATGTGTTAACTGATTACAGAATCTAGAAATGTAACTGTTGTACCAAAGGCAAATCTCACAGAAGACTAGGCAAGGAAAGATGCAGCATATCCTTAAGGTGATACATTATGTGCGTCCAGTGATAACCTATCCACATGATCCTGATAAGCAGAAATAGCAGCCACAAACTTTTAAGTGTGGATGGGAAACATTATTCAGTATTCTCAGCACCATAGAGGCTGAACTGTACACTATGTCACATTGATTATCTGGACACCAGTCACAGAAACATTTTCATACAACAGACATACATGGCCTCTGTCAAAGGGGCTCTCACATGCCAGATAGACTCAAGAGTTGAAAGACCAGGAGGGTGATAGCTGTGTTTCTGGCTTGTGACCACAGCAATAACTAAAAGTAATCTGTATGCAGGTCCAATGTAGAGCTACCAAGTGGACACTGGAGTTGTAGTTGCGATTCTTTAGGATGAAGTAAGACAAAAGCAAAAAAGAAAAAAGAAAATTGCCAATCAAGCCAGTCTTGCATATACCTCAGTTGGGCAAACAGGGCCCTAGCCTTGACAGGATCAATACCTGTAAGCCTTGGAGTCCATATACATTGGACCCTACAGCAAAAACTACTGCTTCAATACAGCTGTAACCAAGGCACTTGTCCAGGCACAAAAGGTAGATTGACCTCATGGTGTTCTTGCATGTTTTGCAGTTGGGACTGAGCAAGACAAACTTTCTGGCGGCTATACGCCAGATAATCCAAAATCTTGCCATAGTCTCAGGCGATATAACTTACTTTTTACAGGGAGGCATCAAGGAGTTCCCCAGCAGGAGGCTACATGTCAGCAGGTTAGAGCAAAGAGTTCAGTGTGACTAGCAAATGAGAAAGTGAGCTCCCAGGTGTGTGCCACTGTCATAGGCCTTAACAAGGGCCCTGTTCTTTAGGAAAGTTGGAGGAGAGGTATTCATCTGGGAAACCACCAGAGACTGAGGCATCCACTAGAGACATGTTCTCCAGATTGTAACGGCCAGGTTCCGCTATGGTCATTGAAACTCTTGTTGCTGTGCAAGCCCCCACGTGTAAAAGGAAAGCTGCGTATGCATCATAAGTTCTCCACATAGCCACCTCAAGCAGCAAAAGCAAACTGAGGGGCATCAGAAGCTACAGAAGAACTTGCTTGTAGCATCATGGTTAGGGACTTTATGCAATCCACAAGGAGGCGGTTTCTTTATTTTTGTTGTAGATCATTACTAATGTTTTTTTTTGTAAGCACTGGGTGCCCCTCAATTTGAAAGACAGGACAGCATGACACTCATGTCTCTGGGACATCAACATCACGTTACAAGCCTTGCAAGGGTCACTTAGAGCCGCCTCTGATGATTTTAACTGAGGCATGAAGGGCAGGGCTCATGGCTATAACAGGGCTTTAAACACGAGGCACAATTTGCAGCTGCCTAAGCTGATCATGAAAAAAGCCAAATATTTTTCTGCAAAGTGCAACAAGCTGCTGTAGCTACCACTAGATGCATGCGATAGGGCTCCTCAAGGATCAGTGGACACTGCTAAATCAGACAGGTAGTGGTTAGCTTCTGAGTTAGGGTGTGGGGCCTAAGCCACAACCTCACAAGGCTCAGCAAAAGTAACAGCTATTGCTAAATCTGAGGTGTTTAGGCCTCAGCATACTTTCAGAGGCTTTGTTTGCCATATCACGCACATGGCAGCTGGGTGAACTCCGCGGACGAAGACGGTATGCAACAAAGCCTGTGTTCTCTTATATGTAGGTGCACAAAAGAGAAAGGCTGAAGTTGGCTTTGTATTCGCCAGCTTCTTGCTCGAATTTTCCCGTTCCACCTTAAATGGTGGCAGCATTCTGGACTCGCACGTCGCCATAGTTAGAACTGTGGCAAATTGTTTTCCAGTAGTCATAAAACTTATCATCAAATGTCATACCGTCACCTGCATTAGTGGAGCATCAGCAACATGAAGCCGCAGAAAGTATGCAAGCTTGTAAGCTCACAAAGGCACTTTCGGCTTCGCACAATCCTCAAGAATTTTGTTTCACAGGAAGTATACTGAGGCCATTATGGGTAACCTCTCTGATAGGGCACAGGAGCTAGCGAGGCCGGCTGTGGCTCAGTGAGGGTCAGGACCGCTTGGCCTTAGCCTTGTAGAATCTGTTTCTTCAATACTCACGTAGTGTCTATGGAAGTCTCTGGTTGGAGCTACAGATGTTCCATTCTAGCAAAGGTTTAGTTTGGGCAACCAGTGGTAGCAGCCCAAGCTAGCAGTCCACCCATGAGCATGAGTAAGCAGCCTGGGGAAAGCAGCAGAAGGGGTCTGAGCTGGTAGTTATCCCATGAGCAAGGGCTACAGTAGTAGCAGCTCAAGTAAGTGACTCTGGCCAGAGTAATTTAGGGTAAGCCGCTGCTCTCACAACCCAGGGAGGATCGGGTTGGATCCTAAAGCTCTGGCAGAGTCACTGGGCTGTATGAGAGCAATGCAAATTGTTAGCTTGTGTCACAGCGAGAAGAAGAAGGGAGACACGTTCCATGCAGGATATTCTAACCTGCATGTAAGCAAACAAGCAGTGTTCACTGTGCTTCACACTTTGAACCGAAAAAGAACTGCGATATTCTGCTTCTAGACAGTCAGCCATGTGATCCATGACTTCCATGTCAGACGTTGTTGCAATTATAAAGATATAACATAAAGATGATTTCTGACGGGTCACGTCTTTGTCCATTTTTGGCCGAGTGTAGATCTGCAGTGTTTTCACAGCCTTAGACAGTTGAGAGGGCTTAGGGAGGTCATTTATTGCCGGAGAGGTATGTGCACACGCGAGAGAGAGTGCTAAGGGGCGGCCGGCCTGTACAAACATCGGATGTGGTGTCGGCCTGCGGGACACAGGGGGAAGTGGTGGCGCATGGTCCCAACCTGATACGCTCAGGGGCCAATAGAGCAGGAAGCACCGAATCATAGTCCACACACAGGCTTATGTGCACGCACACACACGCACACGCACACGCACGCACACACACACACACACACACACACACACACACACACACACACAAAAATAAGATGGAGAAAAGAAAATAAAGGCACAGGGAAGCTGAGAGTCGCAAAGATAAAGAGCGCTGCAAAAGACAGAAAAGGAGGAAACCGTGTGTGTCAAAGAGAGAACGACTTGAAGAAAGAAAGACACAGAGACAGAGAGACAACAGTACATATAAGAGAGAGAGAGAAAGGGAAAGAGACAGAACATGAGAGACAGTGAAAGGGAAGGAAAGTAAGAGGGGAAGGTGAGGAGCACTAGTTCTGCTTCTCTAATTAAAGCTAGTAGCTATGCACACCTCTGCCTCTCACTTTTACCAAGAGTGCAAAAACAGGAAGCGCCGTGCATCACAAATAAACACAGGGAGCAGAGACAGGGTCGCCGCAGGCACAGAGGATGTGATCTGCACAGCGCGCTCACAACTGCGCTTAAACCACAGAACCACCCCCCCCCATCTCTCTCTCCCTCTCACACACATACACGTGTGTGCACCCTTCCCCCTACTGGGGCTTTATCACAGCATGGTCAGGGCTGGTGGGAGCAGTGACCACTCCCCCTCCCCCGGCCCTCTTTCTTCCGTTGGTCTCGGCTGCTGTCGCCTCCACGCTTCTATTCTCACAACAGCTGTCACCGCAGGGGCCCACGCCAGCCCAGCCACACGTCACTTGCCTCTCGCTGTGGAAAATGTTGACGGTTTGTGACCTCCGCTCCTCCTGATAACGAAGATATCCAACACACATAGGCGTCTGGACAAACACTCACACTCACAAACCAAACACTCCATCCTTTCTATCTTTCATCTCTTGCTATGGTGAATGCTGTTGTCCGTTTAACTGGCTTTCCAACTTGCTCTGCACAAGTCGCAGGGCTGTTTCCACCAAGCAGAGACAAAGGCCTCTCTTACTCTCTTCTAGAGACCTTCATATTTCAAACTGTCCTTTAATGGAGAGCCATATTGTATTACTACCAGAGTACAGCTGGATAACTGGAAAAATGTGGCGGGGGGTGGAGCATGAACCAAGCATGGAGTTCAGGTAAGCATTCAGGGACAGAAATAGTTCCAGCATCACGACTAGATGAACAGTCTTTTATTAGCAGGCGGCACAGGCACAGGACTACCATGGTGATAAAAACCACGACTGCAATTTACATGCTCAGACTTCCAATGCCAACACACATCAACACACATGCTGGCATCAGAGGGAAACCTGAGCCATTGTCCCATGCTGGAGCAGTACAGCAGTGATGTGTGGGTCAGCCTTTCCTCCAGCACCCCACACCCTGTGGTTCCGAGAAATTGGTGTACACCTGCCCAGCCTGACTTAGAGGAAGGAAAAATAATAAGCTAAAATCAACTCTTACCTCCAGCAGGAACGGCAGCACTGGCACAAAGGTCTTGGTGCTGCCGGAAAGCAGGATGAGAGCTCTGACGCAATGTAACCGTAATGGATAGTACCGGGAAATGGGCACCAACCTATACACCAAACACAGACACATACAAAGAGACCATTCATTAAAACAGAGGTTTAAGTTAAGTCAGCCTATCAAACTCTTTATGCTTTGAGAGATTGAACTACTGGAATCGTATCACTTAAAGAACTTCAGATTGATAATTTCAAAATAGATCGCTGAAAAAAGGATGATCCCAAACAGTCCAAACAAACTCGTGCAGCCATAATGAGTCAACAGATGAAACTAAATTCAACACATTCTCTGAATGCAGTCAACACTGCCACCTGCTGGTAATTCTGGCGCCATTGTCTCTTTAATTAAAATAACCATACCCCTTTATTATATTGTATGTACATTTTACTCTCATCCCATGACTAGTTGAACCTGATTACTTAATGAAAAAGCATTAATTAAAATGGACCTTGATAAGTCAGCAAGATAATGCATAACATGGAAACATGGACTGATATGCACTTTCTGCCATAGTTTTTTTTTTTTTTAACACATAAAATTGGAGTTTTATCAAATTGTTAGCCTGTATATTTTCAGTCTTCACTGTGTTGACAAGTGAGGAATACCTGAATAGCAATTTCAATTTAAACAGTTAACCGAGTACTTGAGCACCCGTACTGTAAAAGGTTATGCAGGGTTTGTTATTATTACATCTTTATTGCTTATCCTTATCAAGCTCTAAATACCAGATTCTTCATCTAAACAACCGTTAGACTAATTGATTACTTAAAAATTAATCATGAAAGTCTTAGAATAAAATGTGGACTGATTCAGTGCCTGTACTCACTTGATGCAGCCGACGATGACTTGGCACAGAGGGTAGATGAGTGGCTCCAGCACTTCACTGGGGTAAACAGTGCTCAGCACCCGACACCACAGATACAGACAGTGCACATACTGCCAGTTATACACTGACTGATACGTCTCCTGTAGATATACACCAACACAACAGAACCATTAGAACAGCAACAACTTGCACAACTCTAACTGGAAATAGATACTTCAACATGTGGACAAGACTTGGTTTTGGTGCTTAAAGATTTACTTGAATCCTTATTAATGTTCAGGGTGATTACCTTCTTCTTCATGTTCATTGCGTTTCGTAGGTGGATGGCGAGCTGTCGGATGTAGATGAAGCCATGCTGGTAAGAGATCTGCGTGTCCAGAGAGTACATCTCTGCCAGGGTGCGCTGCATGAAGTTTATTATGGGGAGCGAGTTGGGAGAGGTGAACTTGCAGTTCTGGACGTAGGCGATGTACATTTGCTACAAAACAAAAAACATTTATGATTGAGTGATGTCAAAAGACGCTGTACTCTGTATTACTCACCAATAGCTGTTTAAGGCTGAAAAAATAGCCCATTTTAAATTCAGTGCTTTTGTGATGTCACAAAAAACAACACATTTACATATATATCTACCCATGCACACTCTAGTTGTAAAGAGATCAGATGGCTTTTTGAATGAGGCCCAATCCAGCAACAAAATGAGCCTGTTTAAGTCTAAGGGGTAAAGAGAAGCTGGAAAATGGATAAAGAATGACTCTTTTTGGTGTATAAAACCACACTGGCCTTCAGTGGAAAATTCACTATGTCTTCCAAATGCATCAAAAAACAATACTGAATATGAATTGTAAACACTGCTTTACTGTCATTATACGTTGTATTGTTGCACAAGTTAGGAGAAATGAAGCATGGGTGAGTACAAAGTTCTCAAGGTAGCTGTAGTTATGATGTAAGTTGTTTATTCTCATTACTTGATATGTATAATATCACATTTCTTGACTGTTCAAGCCCCCTAAAAACTGTTATGGGAACCAGCATGTAATTCAAACACTGCAAAACAAATGATAAAGTTTGTAAGCAGAGAGTATTTGGGGGGTAAGAGAGAGCAGGAGTGTATTAGGCCGAGCATTAACCACTAGAATTGACCACACACAGAGAACAAAATGCCCATAAGTTGTTTAGTTCGGGGCTGTAAGGACTTGTAAATAAGTATTATTACTGACTTTTTATCTTAGTGCTACAGTGTTTGAATTTGTGCGACAACACTTGAAACTTTTCTAGCATCAGTGCTAACTGCTGAAAGGCTACCTATGCATTCCAAGCCTCATTGCGCAAATGAATTTTTGCTCTACTCCGATCTGTCCGACACGATGGTTCACACTCGTTCAGGTAAGTGATTTAAATCTGTCATTAATGTGAACAAACCGGTGTCCTGAAATGACCCGCATGTTCACTTCCTGCTCAGTAACGTCACGTGAATGAATCACGTGCATCATCAGCAAACTAACGAGCAGAACGAGCCTTCGCTAATTAACTCTGATCAGCTCTCAGCTGTTCATTATTAAAGCGAGACGAAGGTGAAAAAGGTGAGATGTGTTTCTTTTCCACCGTTTACAGGCTTTAACTTCTGTTCGGCGCTGCTGCCATGGTAACGCTGAATGATGGCACACGCGCAGTGGAAAAAAGGAAATGAATTCCGATCTGAGAGTCACATTATGGTTGCATGGCCACAAATCGGATACGTATCCGATCTAGGACCACATATGAAAGTGGCTCAGGTCAGATTTGATGATATCAGATTTGCATGTCCACACAGCCCTGAAAACATCAGATCTGAGTCACATTTGGGCAAAAAAATCTGATTTGTGCCACTTCAACCTGGTAAGGTGAATGTAGCCAAAATGTAAAGCACTGCATAATTTGATACAGCAATGGCTGCGTCAATATTTATGAATTAACTATTACACAGCACATTAATGTGCGAGTGAAACTGCATTACTGGATTCAAGTCTGAGATTGTAACATTTACAACATCCAAAGTGTGGCAAACAAGTGCTCTAACAGTGAGGATTCAGCTCTTTATTTATGACAGGCTTTGCTAGAGAAGAAGGTGTTTCACTTCAGTGGAGCACAGAGTGAAGTTCATGCATTAGTTTACTGTGTGCTGCTATGTACGTAAATGAAGTGAATAAGGCATGTATAGTGCTTGTTAGATGTGTATTCGAGTTGGTTTCACGTGGTTTAGCTTGTGGTTGTAGAGAGTTATAAGTCTGTAGCCTGCTGTGGTTAGTGCTGAGCTATTTGTGTTTTCTTGTTTGCAGAACTGTCATCTACTCATCATGATGTGTGTGATCTGTGGTCCATGTCAGTAAACATCTTTGTTATTCACTGATAATTTTGATGTGCATATGTGCCCAGATATCGACTACTGCTTCACAGGCTGCTGCCTCTGTGATTAAATGTGCAGAAAGGTCACCCCTCTGCCTCTGTGTTCTCAGTACCTCAGAGTGAACCATACCTTTAATGTAGTTCTTAGAAGCTCTTTCAGCATTATTTATTCAACACTCTTGCATTTATTTAACTTGTAAAAAAGGTAAATATTAGTACATGTCATTATCATTCTCTCCAACTGTATGTATTTTTTCATTATTACTGTAGGGGTTTAAAAGAAGCCCAAATACACCTGTTCTGTTTTGTTATTATATTGTGACTCTTGCTGCATGAAGTTGCTGACAATATTCAGTTCTATACTGTATTGTTTAAGTGTCGAGACACTTATCGTGAATACTTTAACCACAAAGGTAAAGATGAGCCATATTGGCACACCAACAGCTAAAGACACTGGCCCTTGGTTGGTTTAAACAAATCTGCAACTATTCCATATTCCATTTACATATTACACTGTGCTTCTGTTTTATACTACTGACACCACCCAAAAAGTAATAAATACAAAAAGACAGCTAGTGCAGAAGCATCTCATACACTGCAATAAAACGTTGTTTTTTATTATTTTTTACTGTATTAAAAATCTAAGACATTTTGTTTACTTCGCATCTTTTTCTTTTTAGTGGTTGTAATTTTAACGCCACAAATCTGTCAGTAAGAGGAGCAGTGAACTCACTGCTTGGCCTCAAACTCCTCCTACGAGCACGATCCACTGAAGGCTGTCAAATCTTTAATTAATAACTGATAAATACGGGCCACTGTCTCATGAAATTCTCGTTAATGCTTTAATCATACAGGTACAAACAAGCAGTACTGATACACTTCCAGGCAAAGCTATTTACATTAAAACCATGTTGAGTGTTTGGAAGAGAGGTTTACCTTTAGAACAGGGTTTAAATATACACTCTGCTTGTGGCGACAGATCTTGTTCAGAGCCAGGAAGGCCAGCACACGCACCGTCTCCTCGCCTGTGCTCCACTGCTTTATTAATTGCTGGAGACAGAAGAGGGAAATAATGAAGGCTGTGCTTTAAATATCCTTCGAAACATCTCACTCTCCAAAGTCTGGTTGCAACTAAACACTGATACAATTCTTTCAAGCCTATAAACAAAAGTTAATAATAAGTAACTATAAACATATAATAATACAATAACATGAATACATATTAAAACAACATAGAAACCTCTCAAATAGAAGAGTAGGGAAAAAAATCCAGTGTGGCAGTATATTCAGTGCTTACCTTCAGCAGCTGTCGTCCCTGTTTAGGCAGACAGAGGTAGTAGGGCACCATCTGGTTGGCATGACGGAGAACTGCAGCAGTAACTGTTGACTCAGTTAGGCTAGAGAGGAGCTGTGGACACATTTGGACGTCATTTTACATTTCTACATGAAAAAAAAATGCAGCATTTTTTGGGATGATTAAGAGGCAAACAAACAACTTTAAACAAACCTGGACGAGACCGCTTAGGTACATTTTAATGTCAATCTGATTTTTCTGCCACCTGGGACTTGAAGAAGGCATTATTAATCTGCAAGACAGATGGATAGATGGATAGATAGTTAGCATAATAAACTTCAGTGCGGTAAAGATACAGCACAAGGAAACTGTGACGGATTATTTAAAACAGCAGTAGAAACAAACTGACTGACGATGGAAGGAAGCCACTTACTTTTTCTGGTCTTTCTCTGGAGCTTTGAGATTTAACAGTTTGTTCAGGGCACCATGCATATCCTTTATGCAGAGCAGGATCAGCGCATTGAATACTGAAAGAAATAAAGATACATGTAATTCTGTTCAACTTACCACAATACATATTCCATTTGATTACAGAGAGGCACTTACTTGAACTATCTGCCACAGTGTAACGACACTTATCTTCACTGTCTCCTTTCGTAGTTGCCACTGCAGCCTTGAAGGCTTGTGTGATGTCCCTTATCAAGCGTGCAGAAGTGTCTTTCTGCAGGGAAAGACAGGAGAATTTGCCCAAACAATTAAAAAAAACAGTAAATGAGACATTTTTGATCTTCTAATAAAACATCACAGATCAGAAATGTTTCTGAAATGTGAGCATGAACCTGCAATTTGGGGTGTGCAATGATGTTTGTATGTTTATGAGGTTTGATGCAACAGACCAAAAAGAACTAGTAGTGCCACATTTAAAAATAACATCAATACTACAATTAAAATGATTTTTACTTAACATTTCACATACTGCACTGCACTAAATCCCACTACGCCGGCCTGATTATGGTTTCTTTGTAATGAAACATGCAGCTGATCAGTGCTCTTTAAGCTCTGACGACATCCACGATGTGCCCAGAAAAGCACAATGTGACAATGTATTGTAATTTCTCATAAAGATAAATACTGTCCTATGGCCCACCCCACCTGTAATGTTATCAACACAAGCATACAAACACCAGCTGCATGCTTACAGAGACTAAGGCCCTGTTTACATGTGCATGTGCTGTTTCATGCGACAACAAGCAGCAGCTGAATGTACTGAGTGTATCAGATGTTTTCTGCGCTGCATAATTTAATGGAAAAGGCAAAACCTAAATATTACCTTGAGCTCTGTTCTCCACTCCTCAATCATCTTAGCTGTGACTTTTGTGCTCTTGTCTGCAGTCTTCTTGGCCTTTTCAGTCTTTTCATCTGCTTCCTCCTCATCTGAGCTGGCCACCTGATAACACACAAAAAACATCCAGTTAAAAGTCTGATGTTAAACGTAATATCTTTCTTAAAAAAAACACTGCGATTTATACTGTATTATATATAGCAACTATATAAATTGTGTGCTAAAAAATGTGTTCTCTGTAGAGAATGTGTGAATTTATTTTTTAATCCTAAAATCAACAGAACATGTCTATCAACAAACTTTAAACAGTTTCTATATATATTCACAAGTCCATTCATTCAATGTTATCAATAAAAACATGTCACCAGGTGTCTGTGTGCTTGGTAAGCGCATGTTTTTAAAATGAGGACATTCTTTTAGGACTGAATTATACTTCTACAGATTATGCAGATTTTTGCACAGGTGTCTCCTAATATACAATGTGTGCACTAGGGGGCAGCAGCCAAACCGGAACATAGAAAGAATCTTTAATTTTTGCTCTTTCTATTCAAGAATTAATACTTGTCTCACGGTGTATATACATATATGTGCAACATTACACATTTTCTGCCAGCCAATTTTTAAAACGGCCTCATTTGATATTCGAGTATCATTTGGGCCTCAGCCAGCCCCCAACACTACTGGATAGCCAATCAGTATTTTATTTGATGCACAACAATACAGATTCACGCAGCTGAGGCATTGACGGTGCACATAAACTGGACCTAGTCATCCTGCTGTTGAATGGCTTCTTACACGGTGAATATCAGGAACTCACGAGACTGTGCAGGCACCATAATGATGGAAATCTCTCACGTGTGGTTTAAATAAGTGTACTGTTTGTAAGAGTTGCCCCGCAAAAACTTGTGAATGTTACAAGGGATATAAATAATCACAACCATTCAGCACAACACAGTGCAATTTCACCAAATAATGAATTTTCACGACTTTCTCCGTCATTAGTTGGTTGTGGTAAATATATTGCAGAATTAGAGAACGGAATAACATAGCAAAAGAAGGATAGCACTGCATAGATAAACAGCCTAATCTTTAAAGGCACACCTGACAGACCCAGTCAATACAGTGGAATAAAGACATGCCTGTAGTTCAGTGGGGAGTTTGTGATACTTCTGTTCCTCTTCATCCTCTGAACTATCTGTGTCATCAAAATTCAGAAGCTTCTGGTCGTTCTCTTGCAAAAACTTGTAGAACTCTGGATCTCTGTCCTTTAGTCTGGAGAGCTGGTCTTTGTGTTCAGATGCCTTGCCCTTCTTTATAGACCTTTTGAGAAAGGAAAGAACATGAATATGAGAGACTAACCAGTCCTCTCCTAAAATGTACAACACGCTATGGGAGAAAAAGATAACTGACAAGGATATCTAGACTGCAATACTTTCATGTACTGGAGTCAGTGAAGACTGAGCTGACCCATGTAGCAACACCTGAAACGTGATATTTCTGATTACAATTAATATTAGTATTATACTATATCGATTATAATGCAGCGCTTTTTCCACAACTACATTTAATGTTTGTAAATCTCTATGTTACGATGTTGTTATGAGTGTCAAGATAAGCATGTCAATATTTACTTTTACCAATATGGAGATCACTAAAGGTTCCATTCAAAGATTTGTTTAAGATTTATTTAAACCAATCCTTTTGATTATCTTTGTACATGATACAGCTGGAAACACAACAGCAATTTTCATAGCTATGCTGATGGCATGCATTTCCATTCCTTTTGAAAATCAAGACTCTGTGGACAAGCTTGCCATCCGTGCATCACATATTTCTGAGTAGATGTCAGAAAATTTTCTACACCTAAATCAAGTAACTGAAATACTGATCCTTGGTATTAAATTTCAAAGAAAAATGCTTTATGAGAAGCTTGGCTCTTTAGCATACCAAACCTGAAGGGCGAAACCTGGGTGTTATCTTAGATTCTGAGCTCTGCTTAATCCGGCAAGTAAATGCAGTCACTAAAGTTTTATAATTTGAGAAATGTTTGAGAAACGTTTGACTTTCCTGTCTGAGCGATGTAGAGGAACTGCATTTGTTACAAGCAGAGCTGATTACTGTAATGGCCTTTATACTTGAGAAAACAATACATCCTCTACAAAACGCTGCAGCACGAGTCCTGACAAAAAAGGGACAGGTCATATCACTAGCATTTCAAAAGAACTGCAGTGGCCGTCTGTAGCTTTGAGGACAGATTTTAAAGTTCTTTCACTAGATTTTAAAACCCTAAATAACCTTAAAGCACCTTGGTACCTATGTCTCTCTGTTTATGTACGAACACGTGATTTTAGATATGTAGACACCACAGATGCTACAAACTGTCTCTTTTGGTATTATTTTTTTTTTTATTTGATTCATTGGCAAACAATTTTAAGTCAATACTCATGATTGTTTCTATTATTGTTCAACTTCAACACCCGTCTGTAAAGCACTTTGAGCAGCTACTGGCATGAAAAGCGATCTATTTCCTCCTGCTACACTGCAAACCCCAAATAAAAAGCAAAAACTTACTTCTCCTGAGATACAGCCTGCTCCTCTGATCCACACTCTGGAATCTCATTTTCAGAGTCATCACCCTCAAAAGAATCAAACCCAGACAACAGGAACTCATCTACACTGAGATCCTCCAGCTTCCTGCAGCACAAACAATATGACAGTGAAAAGAAGGTGTCAACTGCTTGAGCACAAGCACAAACAGATCAATGTGATAAAAAAGGAAAATCTTTAGCATATTAGGAATCTAACGTATATCCTTGTGTCCTCCAAGAATTGTCTGAAGCCTGTTTCATCATAACGTAGCTTAATGAAAAATATGATATTTCCTGTTTAGATACAGCAGCAGAGATTTTTTGCAAGTTTTTCCAAAACATTGTTTACTGTTAAAATCTAGCTACATGCATAAACACACAAAGACACAGTCAGTGTACGTATGAATGATGATGCATCAGTGGATGAGGGAGGCTCAGTTTTTAAAAAATAAACTTAAGCTTAAACTTTCATTATTATTTTCAAAAAAATATTGAGTCTAAATGTGTCACAAGAGAGACTTACCTTTAAAGTACACACTTCAGTACAATGAGTCAAAGGCAACTGAACATAAGCAAACTGAAGAAAATAATCTTGCTTAAACCTTTAAGCTGTGAGATTGTTTATTAGTCATCAAGCAAAGATGAAATCGATTGTCATTTAGTGTATTACAGCAGTAGTACAACTCTATTTTAAGTTGGCTTGGTCAATTTACTGGAAATAACTGTCACATAGGTCCACCTTGTTGATGTACAGTTAAAGACTGCAGTCCGTCCATTTCCATCCTCTACCTCAGTGGTCACCAACCCTCCTCCTTGAGATCTACTTTCCTGTAGAGTTTAGTTCCAACCTGCATCCCAACTTGCTGCACTCTCTTACCTATGGCTGCCTTCGGGTCCTCCTCTGAAGTTCCTAATTACTACTTTGGAGGTTGTGAGCATGACTTGATTTGTGTTTAAGTGGTTTTGGTCAGATACAAGATACACACATTGGTAATAATGTTCTTACTTTACTTGTTTTTCTGTCACTAAAGAGAGTCTGTTTATTTTGCGTTACTGCAACAAAGTGAAAAGCAGAGGATGTCTGAGGTGAGTAATGTTTTTATCCAGTTAGAAGCACCACATAATGTGCTTTTATTTGTACTTTGGTGTGTGGATGATTTTTATTTTAAAGTACTCATTTGTGGCTGCTTAATCACCGAAATACAGCCAGTGACCCTGTGGTGGCATTCATGTGCACTCATCTCAAAATGTTTCCAACACGACTTGAAGGCAGAATGACACTACTGCATCTGATCCATCCAATCAATGACTTCTGACTAAGCTACTTAGCTGTACCAGGTGTGGCAGACTGTGGCTGGAACTAGACTCTGAAGGAAAGTAGATCTTCAGGACCAGAGCTGGTGACCACTGCACTCTTGGCTGGATTTTCTTGAGTAGCAAACCACTCTCAACATTGCAGGGAAACTCATGTGTAAACCCCCCCCCAGCAATGTTGTGTTTGACTACTGTGCCTACTACGCCATTACCATGTCAGTGCCGTGTTGTTCAAAAAGTGACACTATGGTTAGAAACTGACCACTGATGAACTGACCAATGGGGCAGAGGGTGATAAACTGTTCCACTTTTCAGTGGAAGTGACAAGAATTATGGGTCACAATGGCTACAACACAAATATAACCATTTCATTTACTGTCCAAAACCACTAGTGAACCTACACGTGTCTTCTGAGTTTTATGTGTGATGTTTAAAACAGTAAAATTGAAGTAAATCTGGAAAAAAATATTTTCTTTGGGGACTATTTTGCTGTATAACACCCTGCATGAATCCCTCTGCCACTAAGGGATTTAAATAAATGGACTAAAATACATTTCATGATAAGTTCTGGCTAAAACAGTGTGTCAGACATCAGGCAGCCTATATCTAACCACTTTATTCTAGACGTGGACGTCTGGTTCCTATCACCATCACTGTGAACAGTTCTGATTCGTTAAGCTTCTCTAGAACGGAGTACTTCACACCAAATCACTCTGAACGACTGTTTACAGCTTAACCATTAAAATAATGTAAAACTGATTGAAAAACCGGTGGAGTTCCTTTTGAGGTTTACTGACTGCCTGTGAAGTATCTATACAACTAGAAAAATAATGTAAAATATCCAGCTTTCATCTATTATTATGCCTTTTAATGGCCTAAATCACAAAAGATGTTAAGCGTACCTGAAATTTAAAGCTCACGAGTTTGGTTTCCAAGTTAGCGCGCTAGCTGGTATTAGCAGCTGGTAGCTACTCGTGGAAAACATTCAGACATTCAGACAGCAAAGTCTTAATCTTGTGCAGTGACACTAATCACTGACAGCTGGTCGCCACTTGTGCAAACGAATTCCTTACATATTTAATGAAATATTAGTTCAAAGAAAGCTCACCTCTTGTTTTTCCCTGCCATGCTGGATCACCAACGTGCTTTTTGGACGCAGTACCCACAATGCCCTGCTGCACTCTGTTGATCTTTTGTGTCACGTGTGGTTTCATCGCAAGAAAACTGAAAAAAGAAGCTCAAATCAGGTAAGCGAACTTGACAAATTTGACCACTGTTTCCGACAAACATTACTTTGTTAGTTACGTGGGATTAAAACTATTCACGAGGGAAAGTCATCTCCTCTATTTAACTCTGTGCTGCTGAGAGATTCCATGAAGCGAAACCCGTTCGTTCGGGGACGTACAACAGAAAATTGAGTTTGTTTTTCCGAGGCTATCTAAGGCACTGAATTATAAGGGAAATCTAAGGGAGGGAGCTGTGTGTTTTCGGTGCGACATGCAGTAATCGCCTGCATGTCACTCTCATATATGTTACTCGTTTGCGGTATAGTTATGTTGGCTTAAATAGAGTACATCGTTACATTTATGGGCATCATCCCTGTCCGGAGATAAAGCTGGAGAGAGCTCTTCACAGGAGGAAACACGCGCTGTCAGTCAGACACAAGCGACGTCGTCAGGTGAGTTTATTCGGGATTTGATAGTCTGTAATGAAACAAGGCTGAAATCGTCTTCTTGTTTGACAGCTTCTCGCAGCAAGGGTTTGAATTTTCCCGTTCCACCTTAAACGGTGCAGCAGTTACATTCTGACAATGAAACTACTGCACCATTTAAGGTGGAACGGGAAAATTCGAATAAGAAGCCGCCTTCAGCTTGTAACGAAGAAGCTTAAGCGGTTGTCAGCTAGACAGAGCTTAACAACTGAAAGTGCTTGGTTGCTAAAGAAAAGTACGAACAGTGAAATGAATCTCAGTTAAAGTAAGTAAACCTCTCAGTCTCAAACCTGATGTTCGCGTCTGCCTCTCTTTACTGCCTTTGTTCAAGCTGTGACAGCATCGATAGTCTCCCGGTACACGGTTAGAAATAACCAGAAAAAAAACAAAAGAAAAACATTTTATTCATTTTAGCTTATAGCTGGTGTTATTTTCAGTGCTTTATTTATACCTCATGCTGTTGCCAGCAAGCAAGCTGGTTCAAACACTGGTTAAAGCAGGCTGTTAGCTTGCTGCTAACTAGCTTCCCTTTATCCTTTTAAACTAGCTCTAACGGCTAAACGTGCGTCGGTGTGTCCGAGCAACAAGCCGTAAAGATGCATACAGACTGGTAGCGTTAGCTACGGCGATTTAAAAGCACAGGTTTCGGTTTACAGGCTTTTTTTGTGTACGGATACAAGACGCATTTCCAATAAATTGTCCGTTGCTCTTAAGGTGGACTGACTTAGCGCCGCAAGAGACACCTAAGCTAGCTAGCTAGGCAGAATTCCCATTTTCTCTCAGCGACAGGAATTATGTCATATATTTGGCCGGCGTTGTGTTAGTCATTATCTAACTAATAACTATTTCATAATTGCAGATTAATGTCGTTGTAAGGTTATATGTCACTGGTTGGGCCGTTCCACCTTAAAATGTGATGTCAGTGCTCAGCGCTCGTGTGGTTTGCATTTACGTCAACAGCATACAAAGCCCCAAACTAAAGGGGCTTATACATTTTTCATATGTCCTGCACGGCTCAGCTGCTGGACGCTACGGCGCAGAGCTGGCCGAGTCTGCTTCATTCATTAGCAGAGGACCGACGCTTAAACGAGCGAGTATCTGTAGTCACAGGTAAGACAGCGTGTTCCCTTTGAGTGTTCCCTCTGATGGCTGTGTGAATCAGAGAGGCTGGGTGGGTGGCGGGGGGTGCTGGTTGAGGAAATGCAAGAGCAAGTCCTCAGTCCTTTTAAACAGGACTGCTGGGTATCTGCATTGCTGTGGCTCACACGCAAGAGGAGACACTCATCAGCCAGACTGAGCTGCTGAAACGCATTTATTTAGTGCATCTGTTAATGTTAATGCTGTAACTCTGAGGGGAGCACACTCTGCTGAGTCAGATGGAGGGGTGTTGCTATATAGAGAGTGGGCATGGTAATGAGGGTGTCTGCACAGTTAGTACTGTGCAGTGTGTTTGAAGTGAGAGTTCACAGTGAATTTTTACCATTGCGTGCTGATAAGGTCCTTTCCTTAGGATTTCTATTAGGATCACCTAAGGACACTCGGGAAGTATCACTTACACAAGCAGTTTTTTTCTCTCCGCCAGTTGTAATGGCAGAATTGATAAAACCGTAACAGGTCAGCTTATTTGCATTTTTTCCCTGTGTTTGACGTTAGATAGAACAGAGCAGCTGTAGAGGCCTTAACCTGACCGCTCAAGTGCAAGTGCCATTCTGTTCTGCTCCATGTGTTTTACACAATACATTATTTAAGTTTTATCAGATTTCGCTGCGCAGTGGCGGATATTTGGAACCAAAGGTTCATCAGCACTTGAAACCCTTCAGTCATTTTGTCCCAGGCTACACAGGTGGTAATTGTAACTCTTAAGCCTATTTACTGTGCACCTGCACTATGCTCTTTCACTTAACTGCATTATTCATAATAAAAGTACACCTAAAATGAGTATACCAGCACCGTATTACCTCTTTTGTTGACTAAAATGAAATTTAACGAGTGCCAAATATCAGTAGCAAAATATCAGTAGTAATCATTATTAGGGATGCACAGATGTAAAAAGATGAAAAGAGTATAATATAGAAATTAGGCCTAAATCCTGATTTCTGTATTTATTAAACTGAAAGCATATCCACAGCAAGCAAAATTTACAATAATTGTAATGTGTTTGGGACCATACAAATTGTGGCTTTTCTTTACATTCTTCTTTACACTCAAACACTCAGTTCATTCTATCACTTTAGCCTGTAAATTGAATGTTTATGTTAACACCCTACTTACAGTTATGGACCAAGCATCCATTTTCCATCGTAATACTCTCAATGGAAGGACAAATGTGTGCAGCTTGTGGAAACACACCTAACACTAGAGTTTCCAGTGTACAGCCCCAGTCATGGCAATCATTTGTTTGCTCAGCTATCGTTTAAGCCAGTGTGCCAAAGTGCCATTGGTAAACAGAAATGGCAGCAATCAGTAGAACCCGTAGATTTGACTGAAACATGATGTTGCCATGTATTGAAAATGAAATGAGCAAAAGTGTCTTTGTCCAGCAGTAATTGGGTGATTGTTTTATTATTTTTATAGCACAAGACCTTTAGTCTGTCTGCTTTCCCTCTTCTTTTTCCTCTGCTCTTACAGCACTCTGCAGCTGGTCTAGCTGGAGGCCACCATTTATGTTCTGTGTGCTGAATGTGTAGGCTAAAGGACAGTTCAGCAGTAGTGTAGCAGCAGAACTGAAAACAGCTGGCTATTTATTTATTTATTTATTTATTTATTTATTTATTTTGTGATTTACAGGCATTATGCAATCTTTTTGGATTCATATGTTGGCCTGATGCTTTTAATGCTGGGTATTTAAGCTCTTCCCCACAGACCATAGTTGTGGTTATATAATATAACCTTAGTGGTTTCGTGTTAGTCTGCTTTTGTTTAGCATGTAGCTTAAATGCGTATAGGTATACTCAGCGGTGAACCATGATTGGAGCTAGGTCTTCAGTTCGGACCATCAATGTCAAAACTTGGTCAAAAATGAGGGAAAAAAGCACCTCTACAACAACGATAATTTCTGCTAGCACTCTTATGGAATTATAGTGGTATATTAGCACTAAGTTAACAGCGATTCACATAAGGTTTTTTTTTGTTTTGTTTTGGTTTTTTTTTGTTTTTTTTTTTGTTTTGGCCATTCTAGATTTAACAGCGGCATTTGAAGCTCATAAAAGCCATATCATGTTTAATTTGAAGCTTGTAACAGGCCCAAACAGATATCTAACCTGGTCTACAGCAGTTTTACAGTGACTCCTTCACTAAACAGCCCTACCATGAAACTGCTGTTGCCCGTCTGTTTCTAACATCTGACCTAGCTGCATTGGTAAGGCCACCGCTCTATTCCAAAAAGTGCTCCCACCCATGGAAAAATCACTTCTTATGTTATGATAGTGGTTAATCTGACATGTTAGGCACTCAGTTCAGCTCCTGAAGTCCTGACCAGTTGAAGGGCTGGCTTGGCTTTGTATCTAGATACCAATATCTCTAGATACCATGCAGAAAGAAGATCCTGACTAAATAATCTTTTTTTTTTCCCAGTCCAAACGTAAGGAAATAAAAGGATTGCTATTATAATTTACAAATCGTTGCTGTCCAATGAAAGCCATGTATCTCCATTTTTGTTGATTTTTATTTTTTACATAATTTCAACACACCAGCTGTCCTTTACGTGAAGTGAAAATTCCATGATGAATGAACCAATAGAAATGCTCCAAAATCACTTGGAATAAAATCTCTTTACATTAACTTACATTGAAAAGTGAGAATGTTTTGCTATCTCATGTAAAGTTACTATTTTGGAGATACTTGTTTTTCTTTGCACAGCGACTAAATACAACATGTTGCTACGTTAAAACTTGAGTGTCCTAATGTGAGTGCTTTGTCAAGGTCATGTTGTGAAAGATGAAATTGACAAATGTAAACGCTAGTGAAACTAACTACTCTTGCTGATGTTAGCCAGGTCCAGAAACAGTGAAGATGTATTTCTCCTACAAACAAACGTGTTGGCACATCGTCTACTGAAGAGAAAATACCGTCTGTAAAGATGATGAATCTCCAACAGCATCCAATGTTGATTGGCTCTCATAACTCATTAGCTCATTCGAATATGTGGACTCCATCATCGGACATGAAAACCTACTCATTTTCCTTGTTAAATCCCATTTATTCCTCTGTTCTTCATCTAAAAAGGTAAACTTGCATAATTTTTTACTTTGTTTTCCGTCCCCTGGTTAACTGAATACGCGTTTATTGATGTACGATGTTTATTGATGTCTTATGTAGACTTGACTGACTTAGTCATATGACTGGTGCTTGATTTGCATGAATAATGTTGTATCTTTTAAGCCTTTAACCATTTTGGCAGACTTTTTTTTGACATTGGTTAATTGAATATCTATTCAATAATGTTAACTTCTATGCATACTCAAATATCAAAATTAAAAACTAAAAAATTGCACATCCCTGGTGCTTGATTTATATGGATAATGTTGTAGACTTACCACTCAACTGTGAGAGCACCACACAGCCCAGTCCAAATTTGGCCTGCTGATGACGTAGGTTGCTTGTCAGTTGTTGTTAAATTCACTGCCGGTCTTGTCTCTTTAGGATCAGAGCCATCAAGGACAGGGACCTGGTTAAGGTTTCTGTTCTATAAATGAGAGTGAATGCTGATTAAGCATAAAGGGAAATGTTGCTCTCATGTATTTACAGTTGCTGAGAGTGAGGCTCAGGCAGCAGCGGGCCTCTGAGCACAGCGCCATGATGGAGGGGGGCATGCAACTACTGAATCGAGATGGCCACAGCATCTCACACAACTCCAAACGCCACTACCACGACTCCTTCGTGTCCATGAACAGGATGCGGCAGCGGGGGCTGCTTTGTGACATTGTCCTGCATGTGGCCAACAAGGAGATCAAGGCACATAAGGTGGTGCTGGCTTCCTGCAGCCCCTACTTCCACGCCATGTTTACAAGTAGGTTATTTTCTACATTCTGTTTTGGCTGTTTTGATGTTAAATAAATGCAGCAATGAAGAAACTGTTTTGAACATATTTTGCAGAAGATAGATAGAGCACACCCTCTTAATTTGGTAGCTAAATACCTTCCGGGCACTGTGCCTCTCTCATTACTCCAATATTACTTTACCCAGCCATCTCTGTCTTTCATTCTGTCCCATCTGCATAAGCGTACCCAACTAATGCAATCATGCTTGCATTTAACCTCATTTTTACAATGGGTTTAATGTCATTGGAGACGTAACAACAAAACATCATTTGTCACCAGTTATGCATATTGGAAATAATTCTCAAGTTCATCATCAAAAGCCTTCATATTTAAGTTAGCGGTTAATTTCAGTCTGATATTAAAGCTCACTCTTGTTTGTTTGTGTCTCATAGCTACATTAGCTCAGCTTTCTATTGAATCACTTCCTGCTTTACTTCACCTCCCATTATGTTTTCCATGCTGTATTCTCTTCCCTTTCCGGTCTTAGGTCAGCAGGTGCCGTGTTTTTCCTATCTGTCCTCCACTCCACTGCACCTCAGGCTAGAGTGTGATGGTATGTCTCAGGACAGTGTGGGCCGAACTGTGCCATTACTATTCTGAACTTACCATACACCAGTGCAATTCACAACAACATACATTTAACCCCTGATTTGCACAAGTTTTTCCAAGTTAGTTTGAGCCAAAGCAGAATTCCATTCATAAATGTGTTCCTCAGTCACCTGTTATTGGTATGCTAATATTCTTTTTAAATGTACTCCAATAGCGCAGACGCAACACTACAGGAAGAAATAAATATTTTTTCTGTAACCCTAATCCAAGTGGATTCATTATATGAATATTTATGCATTGACACTGCAGATATGTGCATTATAAATATAGACTTTGGCCCATGTCCGTGCACCCCTGCTTTTTATTAGCCAAAGTTGCGACACAGATAACATTTATTATTTATTTATTTGCTCTTCAACAAGACAAAGTGGCATCTTAAATTCTTAAATGAAATAATTTATTGCCTATATTTAAAAAAAACTCGAATCGAATAAAGAGCTACAACTGGCTGTTTACAATAGTGGCTTACGCATAATTTTTAGGGGTGTAATGATTCACGATATTCAGAATTCGATACGAGACAGTCATGTCATGATTGAATACAGCAAAAAAAAAATGAAATAAGAAAAATATTTTAATGTTTCCATGTTCAGTTTATTAGATCATGTAGTATTATAAAAGTACAGTGTTTTTAAATAAAAACTGTACTTTAGGGTGCCTATACACTACAAGCTGTGCAGCGTCAGAAACGCCTTCCCTCATTGTATTTCAGTGAGGACGCTGCGTCAGCTCTGTCGGGCTAGAAACGTGCCTGTATGCAGTGAAAAGACGCCTCGTCGAGCTTCAGCAAAGTTCAAACCATTTCAAGTTTTGCTGTAGCCGATTCTGACACGGAGACACATCAACCTATAGAATCGTGCAGGCACAAGATGGAGGAGAGTAGCGATGCTGTGTACTCTTTTCCTGTTCAATATGACTTCTTTGTCTTTGTGGCTGTTGTCTGATTGGCTCTGTATATGACCCTCACCAAAATTTTCTTTCAATGTCCCGTTTTTTTTTATTTTTATTTTGTTTCTAGTCCAAATGTTTTGTTTCCCGCTAGATTTCGAACTGTACAAACTTCACCCCTCTCCAGCCATGTACACACCTTCTAGACAGACAAGATCTGCATGCGTATGCGTCTACTGCTCTGTCCTTTCGTTATTCAGTCTGTTCTCTGAGGCCAGTAAGTCTGATACCCTGGCACATAATCTCTGTCGACTACTGATAGTATGGAAAGTTGCTTTTTGTAACATTTAATGCAGTCAATAACAAGGACTCAGAATTGTAAATGTGAATGGAATTCCTTTTTACTTACTAAACAGGTTTCCTTCAAAAATGTGACAGCCTGATATTACAAATTATAAATTGAATTGTTTACTTTAACCTACATCAGACTTTATAATCACCATGCTTTCTAACCACCTGCCAACCTGACCTTTCTTTTATTTCACATCTGCTACACAAAACCATAGATTCAGGTTGAGAATGTGTGTGTGTGTGCGTGTGTGTGTGTGTGTGTGTGTGTGTGCAGACGAGATGTCGGAGAGCCGTCAGACGCACGTGACCCTGCATGACATTGATCCGCAGGCGCTGGAGCAGTTGGTGCAGTACGCCTACACTGCTGAGATAGTGGTGGGAGAAGGAAATGTGCAGGTACACTTTCTTTAGCAAAGGAACTTAACATGGTGGAAGTAGAGTGTAGTCTTTTGAGTAATTAATTCATAACAAACTTGCTGACTTTGCTGATGCACACATGTTAGTAAAGCATTTCAGCCACCGTCATATGAAGGTACTGATGCAGATTCACTGGATTCACCATATATATGTATTATATATTTAAAAAAAGTTATATAATTAATTATAATGTAATGTAAAAAATTAAACATCCAAAAAAAAACTTTAAAAAAGCAAGAATAGACAACATTATAAAAATAAATTTGCAGGACTACAAATGTTACAGATGCCAGCTTTTGTAGCTTTTAGTCAAAATCAGCATTTTATTCTTAGTCCCCATTTATTTAAGTGATATCTGTCATGATATAAGAGAACATTTGTAATGCATATCTCCACTATGGCTAATCTTGTGTATGTACGCATGCCATTTGAAGACCCTGCTGCCTGCAGCCAGTCTTCTACAGCTGAACGGGGTGAGAGACGCCTGCTGTAAGTTCCTCCTCAGTCAGCTGGACCCTTCCAACTGCCTGGGCATTCGTGGCTTTGCTGATACACACTCGTGCAGTGACTTGCTCAAGTCTGCCCACAAGTACGTCCTGCAGCACTTTGTGGAGGTATCCAAGACCGAGGAATTCATGCTGCTTCCACTCAAACAGGTGAGGAAGGACAGTAGAGGGCATATACCATGAGTTGCCAGTGAAATAGGTACCTTGCATCTGCAGCCAATGGCCACTTTATCAGAAACACGTACCTTCTATGTGCATTTGCAAATATAACTGCAGCTCATCAGTTTCTGCACAATATGTCATCCCCCCTCTATCCCTTCCATCAGTGGAGAGAGACTGCACATGTATTATTATCAAAACAGTAATACTGACATGGTAGTGGTAGGAGTGGAAAGTATGGCAAAAATTCAAAATTGCGGTACTTCAAGACGTTTTTACAGGACATGATATGCATCGCAATATTTGTTTTTTTTCTGAGGTCTGATAAATTGGAACATAGACATAAAAGAGCTAGTAGTGCCACATTTAAAAACACTTAATAGTTGTGCGTGTAGTGACTTTTAACTATGTTCTCTTTGTAATGAAACATGCTGTTGGTCAGTGTTCTTCAAGTACTGATGACATCCACAATATGCTTAGAAAAGCACATTATGATGTGATGAATATCATCATATTTGGTGCCCTCTGGTAGACACAGCAACATACCACTACATTCACTCTACATGTTTTCAAATAGTTTATGTGATGGATGGTATCATATTGGAATTCATTTATACATACGTGTACATAATTGGCTTTATTTTATTAACAACTGTGACCGATAATATACACCGACTGGCCACTTCAGTAAGCACATTTACAGTAAGTACAGTTCAGTAAGTGGAATGTATTGCAGGCATCAAATTAGGAATGTTTTTTTTTTCTTAAAAATGTTCTTGAGGAAAGTTCTAAGAAGAAGTCTACGTCAGAATAATGACATGAGAACTGTTCTTACCTTTGTGCTCTTCAGTGTGTGTAGATTCTGTTCTTACCTAGGAACAAGTCTCAAATAAGAAAACACTGGTGAATTTCAGAATCTTAGTAAAAAGTGGGTTTTAAGAAGATATTTCTTCTTAAGAAAGGTTGGTGAATGAAGCCCACTGAGCGCTTTGTTAGGAGTACCTCCTTGTTTCTACACTCATTGTCCATTTCATCAGTTACACTTACCATTTACCTGCACTTTGCAGTTCTACAATTACAGACTGTAGTCCATCTGTTGCTCTGCATACTTTGTTAGCCCCCTTTTACCTTGTTCTTCAGGGCTCAGGACCCCCACAGGACCACCAATGAGCAGATATTATTTGGGTGGTGAATCATTCTCAGCACTGCATTGTCACTGAGGTGGTGGTGGTGGTGTGTTAGTGTGTGTTGCGCTGGTCTAAGTGGATCAGACACAGCAGAGCTGCTGGAGTTTTTAAACCCCTCAGTGTCACTGCTGGACTGAGAACAGTCCACCAACCAAACATATCCAGCCAACAGCGCCCTGTGGGCAGCATCCTGTGACCACAGATGGACTAGAGGATGACTAATACAAACTGTGTGGCAAAAGATGAGCTACTGTCTCTGACTACAAGGTGGACCTACAATGGTGTGTCTAGAGTGGACAATGAGTGTTTAAAAACTCCAGCAGCACTGCTGAGTCTGATCCATTCCCACCAGCACAACACACAGTAACACGCCAGTGTCACATCAGTGTCACTGCAGTGCTGAGAATGATTCACCACCCAGATAATACCTGCTCTGTGGTGGTCCTGAACAGGGTAAAAGGGGGCTAACAAATTATCCAGAGAAACAGTCTGTAATTGTAGAACTGCGAAGTGCACCTTTATGGTAAGTGGAGCTGATAAAATGGACAAAAAGTACAGATAAAAGGAGGTGTACTTGATGAAGTGGCCTGTCAGTGTATGTCTCTCATTTTTTTTATGATGTTGATACCTTGATTCATCCAAACACACCAGACAAAAAATTAATCTGGGACATAACAGAATTTGTTAGGAAGCTCGCAGCACACAATAAAACTTTTGTGTGAGTTTCCCAAAAATGGATTAAGCCTAATCTTGGGCTAAATTTCAGTATCAACGGAGAATTACTATTCTTTTTAGTCTAAGCTTAAGCTTAGGCTTAATCTGTGTCTGGGAAACCAGCCTGAATTAAATCGAGGGCTTATTAATGTGTTGCAAGTCTAGGCAGTATCACCATTACAAAAGCAAATACTGTGGTAATGATTAACAAACAATAGGTTGTGTTGTGCTGCCCCAGTCACTACTGAGCAGGTGGACAGACTGCCGTGCTGCACATTCTGATATATACTAGCCTGAACTAAGTATCAGCCTGGGTCAGCACCCTGTGTCACTCAATGTCACGAGTGGGCTTTCTGCACCACCTCAAATCATCTGCCTGCCCAGGGCTGAACCACAGGCCGTCAATCAGAGGCTCAGACACGCTAAAGCCCGTTCATTCCCTGAGTTGTATCATCATCTCTTTCTACAGTATATGATATTCCTCTAGTCTTAATCCCCTCTTCTCAAAGCAAAGCCCTCTTTTGAATAATCTGAGTAGTGTTGCTGCTGCTCTCAGTTCAGCTGCCTCTCTCTCAAACTGAAAGGCTGTTTGGTTCCCTTAAATCCTTTTTCTTAAATCCCTTTTTAGAGCATGATTAGAGTGTTCAGTGAGTGACAGTGGCTGATGAAAGGGCTGAAGCTCTCACTCTCTCACTCTCTCGCTCTCTCTCTCTCTCTCTCTCTGTCTTTCTCTCCCTCTCTCTCGCTCTTACTGTCTCTCACTCTCCCTTCTCTCTCTCTCACTCTCCCTTCTCTCTCTCTCTCTATCTCTCTCTCTCTCTATCTCTCTCACTCTTCTTCTCTCTCTGTCTTTCTCTCTCTCTCTCCCTCTCTTTCTTTTTCTACCTCTCACTCTCCCTTCTCTCTCTCTCTCACTCTCTCTCGCTCTCAAATTCTGTTTTTATCACTGCTTCTCTTTCTATGTCTCTCTTTTTCATCTTTTCTTTTGTTTTTCTTCTGCTTTCTTTCTTTTTCCCCTTCTCCCCTCCCTCTCTACTCACCGCCCCTCTATCCTTCTCTCTCTCTCTCTCTCTCTCTCTCTCTCTCTCTCTCTCTCTCTCTCTTTCTCTCTCTATCTCTCTCTCTCTCTCTCTCTCTCTCTCTCTCTCTCTCTGTCTCTTGTTTTCTTCAAATTCTCTTTCTTTCTCTTTATTACCTTTCTATCTTCTTTCTTTTCTTTTTCCCCTTTTGTTTCTCTTTCTCCTACTCCTTCTTCCTTTCTTCTACTAACCCCTCTATCTCTGTCTGTCTGTCTTTATTCTTTCTTTGAAATTCTCTCTTTCTCTTAATCACTTCTTCTCTTTCCATGTCTTTCTTTTTCATCCTTTTCTTTTTTGTACCTCTTTTCCTTCCTCGTCTCCCCCTTTCCTCTACTTATCCTCCCTCTCTCTGTCTGTCTGTCTGTCTCTCTCTCTCTCTCTCTCTCTCTCTCCCTCTCTCCCTCTCTTTCTCTTTCTACCTCTCACTCTCCCTTCTCTCTCTCTCACTCTCTCTCACTCTCAAATTCTGTTTTTATCACTACTTCCCTTTCTATGTCTCTCTCTTTTTCATCTTTTCTTATGTTTTTCTTCTGCTTTCTTTCTTTTTCCCCTTCTCCCCTCCCTGTCCTCTACTCACCGCCCCTCTATCCTTCTCTCTCTCTCTCTCTCTCTCTCTCTCTCTCTCTCTCTCTCTCTCTCTCTCGTTTTCTTCAAATTCTCTTTCTTTCTCTTTATTACCACTTTCTATCTTCTTTCTTTTCTTTTTCCCCCTTTGTTTCTCTTTCTCCTACTCCTTCTTCCTTTCTTCTACTCACCCCTCTATCTCTGTCTATCTGTCTGTCTTTATTCTTTGAAATTCTCTCTTTCTCTTAATCACTTCTTCTCTTTCCATGTCTTTCTTTTTCATCCATTTCTTTTTTGTACCTCTTTTCCTTCCTCGTCTCTCTCTCTCTCTCTTTCTCTCTCTCTCTCTCTCTCTCTCTCTCTCTCTCTCTCTCTCTCTCTCTCTTTCTTTCCATGTCTCTTTTTGTCTCTCACTACTAAACATCTTTCTTTTTCCCCTCTTCTTTCTTTTCTTTACTCTCTCTTATCCTTTGCTTTTGTCCCTTCAATGTCTCTTCCTTTGTTTCTTTCTCACAAATTTCTCTCTCTCTCTCTCTCTCTCTCTCTCCTTTCTTTCTTTCTTTCTTTCTTTCTTTCTTTCTCTCTCTCTCTCTTTCTCTTTCTCTCTCTCGCGCTCTTGCGCTCTCTCTCTCTCTCTCTCTCTCTCTCTCTCTCTCTCGCGCTCTTGCTCTCTCTCTTTCTTTCTCTCTTCTTTCTCTCTCTCTCTCTCTCTCTCTCTCTCTGTAGCACAGTGATATTTATGGGTTGTGTTGTTGGTTTGTGAGGTCTGTCCCAGATTTAAGCCTTAAGACCTGGGAAATGTGCGTTTGTTTTCCATACACAAACTGTGACCATAACAACGGACACACACACCCACACATGTGGGTGCTCCTGATGAGGACTGCATGTTGGGAAGGGCAGTCAGTGACCCTGCTGTGTGTGTATTTGTGTATAAATAATCCAGCTGGCATTATGCATTATTAGAAAGGAATTGCCTACATGGGTGACTGAGTTACCACAAGCTGGAGGAAGTGCCTCAGAGATGTGCTGCTGTTTGAGGAGCCAGACTAGGCTTGACAGCTGGTAAAAGAGTGGTCAGTGTGTCATTGTGTATGTGTGCATGTGTTCGTGTTAAAGCTAATGATGGTACATCTTCAGCTAACTGCACACAGCACATTTAGAAAGTGTATGTTTTTCATATCCACATCTGCCAGTGCCTATACATTTACTTGGCATTTGACAATTTGATCATTTTTGACACAGGTAGGCGAAGGTAGTGTTAGGAGTTTTGCCCAAGGACTCATATTTGTAATAGTGTAGGGTGCTTGCCGAGACGGGGGATTGGACCCCAGACTGCAGTGTAGAAGGCAGAGGTGTTACCCACTACACTATACCAACCACATATACATAAACCTTTATAAAGGTTTGGGACTAAGTGGATTTGCATCGCTATATCGATATTTAAAAATGTACTTTAACACAGCGCTTTAATATGTGAGTCAAACAGAAACTGCAAGTCTGAGAACTCAGCATTTTTACAGCATCAAGTTCATGGTAAACATGCAGCTATAGTTAGTGTTTTTCTAGAGAATGTGTAGTGAGGATAATTGCCACTTCATAATGTCTTCACTAGACACTAGAGGGTGCTCTAGTGTGTTTGTAAATGCTTAATCATATATAGAACAATTCATAATTTTTTAAACACATGAACATAAAATATTTCAACACTGCTGTAATGTTTTCTGTTCACTTTTGAACTTTCTAACGATGCCTCATGTACGTTCATGACGTCAGTGAGCGCAAACCACTTCACTCAGCCATGAGCTCTCATCTCACCAACCAGTCTCATTTTAGAAGCATTACTAATACCATCCCAGTGGCCAAATGGAATACATCATTCTACTTTCCAGCTGGTTTAGCTTCATTCTCCCTGATTCATTGAAGACTCGTTCACTGGAACCCTCTGGAGTTTTGCATTAATTTTGCATTAAGATGCATTTTTGGTGATCAGACATCGTTCAGATTTCACTTGACCACATAAAAGCCAGTAAACAAAATCACGCATTATGAAAGCATTACGATTGGATCACTCTGACCACATTTTGAGGTGGTCAGAGATCGATCTTGGCTATGTTTAACACAAATGTAAACGGAATGTGTTTTCACTATCTGTATACAATTACGTGAGTGGAAATGTGACTGCTGAGCGCTGAGTAGAATTTGAGATTTTAAACAAGGAACTACAGATGGAGGAAACTAAAGATGGAGGATACGTGAGGCTAAAGTTATCCCCAGACCAGCAGCCTTCATGCTTTGCAAAGTGTTGAAAGCGTCCAGGTCGGGCTTGTCCACTTGTAATGGTTGTGGTCACCTAATGCAGACCTGTGCAGCGCTGACTTAATGTGATGCATGCCAGCGCTACAGAATGTCACTATGTCATATAACATTAAAATCTCGCGGGAGCATGGCAGATGCAGTTTTTGAAGTCAGGCGCTGCAGTTGTTCTCCATCCAGTCATCTAGGTGACCATCACGTCGGTCAAAGTCAGGTCAAAGTTGAAAATGAACGCCACCCTTGTAACAAAGAAAAGAGTAAATAAAAGTAAAACGGAAACAACGTATGTATTGGATGTTACCTGGTCACGCTGAAGACGCATTTTAGTGTAAATGTAATTTGGCCAAAGTGTATCCAGACACAATTCAGACACAAAACACATGTTAATGCAATGTGTAAACAGGGTCTCTGTGCTCTCAGCACCTCAGAGTGAACCACACCTTTCATATAGTGCTTTGAAGCACATTCATCATTATTAATGAATCCAGTGGTCTTGTATTTTTTGTTTGTTTGTTTTTGTATTTTAGGATAAAAACATTGACATTGTTTGTAGTACATCTGGAATTTTTGAAATCATCTTGAATTTTTTTTTGTTATTGTTTTGTATCGTGACTTCTGTATAATTAAGTTGCTGACAATACCCTGTCTTTACTACAAATGCAGTAAAATGTAATAAATAAGGATATTTTAAAATATTATCTTGGCATCTAAATGTTATGCTCTTCCAGAATACAATAAATACATTATCAAATATCAGTTTGAAACATTAGATACATCTAAACAGCTGTCTGATGCTGATAAGTTTTTTTTTAAAGCAAGTGTCTACCGATACTGACATGATTCCAATATCACTGTGAATCCCTAATTTGCATGCCGAGACTTTTACCCTGATGTCACCCACCATTATGAAGTCCAGCCTGGTTCCTTAAACCAAAGCATCATTCATCAGATATTCAGCTCGTGGTAGCTCAGTCATACATACAAGCAGTTTCTATTATTCTGTATTATGCTGCAGTTCTCTCTGATAACGTGCTGTATGGCACCTTTTGTTGAAGGTTGCTGCGTAACCCACTGATAATCAGCTCTACTGACATGTTCAAACAAGTGTAATGTGTGATAAACTGAGGACTCAGTGTTGTTTTGCTGTGCTGTATGTGTTGTAGGTGCTGGACCTGATTTCTAGTGATAATCTGAACGTTCCATCAGAGGAGGAAGTGTACAGGGCTGTGCTAAGTTGGGTCAAACATGACATCGACGGACGGAGGCAGCATGTACCTAGAGTGAGTGTGCTTCTGCTTGTCTTTTACGTTTTTCTACAGCACCATGTTAGATTTGCCACTTATGATTATATCAGTGATTTGAATAATTTATTTGGACTATTTTTCTGAGGAGTCAAAATTTTTAAAAAGGCCAAAAAGTAAAAAATGTACTTAACTGTACAATAACATACTTGCACAAGCACTTTTTGAAGACTCTATACTACCTAAAATAGAAAGCCTTTAAAAGACTACATTAAAATGATCAGATCCATAAATACTTGGATGTTGACGGTCATTGTTATTTTAGTTCAGGATATTGAAGTTTCGATTATCAAATTAAATAATGAATATGAGTTGAAACTGCACGCTTCCAACTTTAATTCATTTTGAGGGTGTTTACATCTAAAAAGGATAAACGGTCAAGGAATTATAACCATTTTCATAGATAGCCCTCTCTATAAAAAAAGGACAGAGTAACAAAACTATGGATTAAATTGTCATTATTAATACTTGGTTGCAAATTCTTTTCAATCAGTGACTGCCTGAGGTCTGGAACCCACAGACATCACCAGACACTGATTTTTTTCATGGTAATGCTCTGCCAGGCCTTTACTGCAGCTGTCCTTAGTTTCTGCTTGTTCTTGTAGAGTTTTTCCTTTCAGTGAGTGAAATGCATGCTCGATTGTACCAAGGTCAAGTGATTTACTTGACCATTGCAGAATATTCCACTTTTTTCCCTGAAAGTCCCTTCAGGTCAATTTCCATATGTGCTGTGAAGTGCTGTCCAATAAATTTTGAAGTATTTAGCTGAAACTGACCAGATAATATAGGGCTGTATACTAGAATTAATCCTGCTCATTTTGTCACCAGTCACCTCATCAATAAATATAAACAGGCTTGACTGATTGATTGGCTGCCATGCGTGTCCACGTCATAACACTACCTCCACCATGCTTGATAGCTGAGGTTATGTGCTTTGGATCATGAGCATTTCCTTCCCTACAAGTTGAGCTTTGTCTCGTCTGTCCATAAGATTTTCCAGAACTACAGCAAACTCTAAACTGGTCTTTGTGTTTTTGAGGCCTAACAGTGGTTTACATCTTCTAGTAAACCTCCTGTGTTTACTTTGATGTCCCCTCTTAACTGTTGATTTTGACACAGATACGCCTACCTCCTGAAGGGTGATCTTGATCTGGCCAACTGTTGTGAAGGGGTTTTCCTTCACCATTTCACCAGAATTCATCTGTCATCCACCACAGTTTTTATCTGTGGTATTCTAGGCCTGTTTATGTTTCTGAACTCACCGATGCATTTAGTTTTTTGTTTTTTTCCCAGAATACACTAAATCGTTGATTTGGCCAGTTAATGTTTTTTGTTACAGTCAGGTCCATAAGTATTTAGGTAGTGCCACAGTTTTTGTAATTTTGCCTCTGTACACCACCACAATGGATTTGAACTAAAGCAATTCAGATGTGATTTAAAGTGAAGACATTCAGCTTTAATTCAAGAGGTTTAACAAAAATATTGCATTAACTGTTTAGGGATTTTTTTTACATAGTCCCTTTTCACAGGCTCAAAAATAATTGGACAGTTGACTGGTGAGCAGTTTCATGGCCGGATGTGGCCTGTTCCCTTAAAATGTCATGCCAAATGAAGGAAATGAAAGATCTGGACTTGATTCCAGGTGCTGAATATGTGTTTGGTAGCTGTTCATGGGAACTCGATATGCAGTCCAAAGAAGTGTTGATACAAGTGAAGGGGGCCATCAATAGGCTGAAAAAACAAAACAAACATCAGGGTGAGAACAGAAACTTCAGGAGTGCCCAAATCAACAATTTAGTACATTCTTAAAAAGAAGGAATGCACTGGCGAGCTTAGCAACACCAAAAGGCCTGGAAGACCATGGAAGACATATCAGAATTCTGTCTGTGGTGTAGTAAAACCCCTTCACAACACCAAGCCGAGTCAAGGACATTCTAGAGGAGGTTTGGCGTATCATAGTCAAAGTCTACAATCTAAAGACGACTTCATGAATGTAAATACAGAGGGTTAACCTCAAGATGCAAACCACTGGTAAAACTGAACGCCAGATTAGACTTTGACAGAAAACATTTAAAAAAGCTTGCCCAGTTCTGAAATAAGATTCTTTGGGCAGATGAAACCAAGATAAACTTGTACCAGAACGATGGGAAAGAAGAGTATGGATAATTGAGCATGCTTATCTCTTACTAAAGATAAAACTGAAGGCAGAAAGACCCACAAACAAGCAGCAACTGAAGACGGCTGCAGTAAAGGCCTGACAAAGCATCTCAAGGGAGGAAACTCAGCATTTAGTAATGTCCACAGGGTCAGACTTCAGGCCGTCATTGACTGCAAAAGATTTGCATCCAAGTGTTTAAAAAAAACCCTTGTAGTTTTGTCAGTTTGTCCGGTTACTTTTGAGCCTGTGAAAATGGAGCCCTTTAATTAAAGCTGAAAGTCTGCACTTCAATCACATCTTGATCATTTCAAATCCATTGTGGTGATGCACAGAGGCAAAATTACAAAAATTGCATCACTGTCCAAATACTTATGAACCTGGCTGTATTTCTGTGATGGGTTTGTTTTGATGTTTTCTTTGGGACTCATGTTGAGAGTTAACAGCAACAACTGTTACAAATGCAGCAAAAAAAAATATAAATGCAAATGCTACACTTGAAATAACTAAACCATTTATCTGCTTAGTTGTAAATGAAATAAGGAGGGAAAAACACACACCTGGTCATGACAAAACTAAGCAGCTAATTGCCCAATTACTTTGGACCCTCTAAAATTGGGGCTATTTATGAAAATGGTTGTAATTCCTACACAGTTTACCTGATTTGGATATAAATACCATCAAATTAAAGCTGAAAGTCTGAAAGTCTATACTTTGAGCTCATATTTCAACTCCTGTATACTGTGGTAGACAGCTAAAATAAGAATAACTTTGATGTCCAAATATTTATGGACTTGACTATATGAAAACAGAAGGTAATCCTTGTTTTGTTTTTTTTGTGAAGTTGAATCAAGATTAGTAACCTATTACTCTTTCTTTTCTTCCTTCTCATACCACTATACAATTTGCATTGTCACTGCCTTCCTTTCTTTCTTGCTTGCTTGCTTGCTTGCTTTCTTTCTTTCTTTCTTTCTTTCTTTCTTGCTTGCTTGCTTCCTTTCTTTCCTTCTTTCTTTCTTTCTTGCTTTCTTTCTCCGTGGCTGATCTCTTTATTTTTACACACCCATGTCCTCTCCCCCTCTTTAGTTGATGAAGTGCGTCCGTCTGCCGTTGCTGACACGGGACTTCCTAATGAGTAACGTGGACACAGAGCTGCTGGTGCGGCACCACTCGGAGTGCAAGGACCTGCTGATCGAGGCACTGAAGTACCACCTGATGCCCGAGCAGAGAGGCGTGCTGAGTAACAGCCGGACCCGCCCTCGCCGCTGTGAGGGAGCCAGCCCCGTGCTGTTTGCTGTGGGTCAGTCAATCTGCAAGGACCTGCAGTGTTTTATTGCTTTTCAGCATTCTTTCTTTTTTTAAATGTAATACAAATTAGCAATCATTAGCATTCAAACCTTTCAGGTTTTTAAACAGCCACTGGGTGAAAGTAACAGTGAAAAAAAATCTAATTTTCGAAGAGAGCAAGTGTCCTAAAACATTTTATGGACTGGTGCCTAAGAAATGGTCACAAACTTGTTATTGTGAAAAATTGTGGTTAGAATTGAGTAGTCCCCTTGTGAGACCCTCTGTATTCCCCTTATGGTTTCTCTCAGGTGGAGGCAGTCTCTTTGCCATTCATGGAGACTGTGAGGCATATGACACCAGGACAGATCGTTGGCACATGGTAGCCTCCATGTCTACACGGCGGGCACGAGTCGGTGTTGCTGCTATTGGTAATAAGCTCTATGCTGTGGGCGGGTAAGAAGCTTTCTTTCTCTACCTCCTGTTTGATGTGATAGTTTTGTGGAAATTTTGTCTGTTAGCCAGGACTAGTTATATGTCTAAGTTTGTCTAATTTTAAATTGATCACAGTTTTCAAGCATCATTGTAGATAATGGGTTGTAAAAAAAATGACAGCTTCTTCTGTTATACTGTTGTCCTTAACTTCGTGTTACCAAGGCATTGGCCTTATTCATCAAATTTGTGTATGGTCAAATATGAGTGTAAAGCAGTTTTGTTATGTGTTTGTTTTTTTATTATTTATTTTAAGTAGTTTTATCATTGGGTGTGTGTGTGTGTGTGTGTGTGTGTGTGTGTGTGTGTGTATATGTGTGTGTGTGTATATATATATATATACATACACACACACACACACACACACGGCATAACATAAATTATAACATTATGTCCACCTCCTTGTTTCTACGCTCATTGTCCATTTTATCAGCTCCACTTACTATATAGGTACACTTTGTAGTTCTACAATTACAGACTGTAGTCCATCTGTTTCTCTGCATACATTGTTAGCCCCCTTTTATCCTGTTCTTCATTGGTCAGGACCCCCATGGACCCTCACATAGCAGGTACTATTTGGGTGGTGGATCATTCTCAGCACTGCAGTAACACTGATGTGGTGGTGATGGTGGTGGTGTGTTAGTGTGTGTTGTGCTGGTCTAAGTGGATCAGACTCAGCAGTGCTGCTGGAGCTCTGTGAGGGTCCATGGGGGTCCTGACCACTGAAGAACAGGGTAAAAGGGGGCAAACAAAGTGTGCAGAGAAACAGATGGAATACAGTCTGTAATTGTAGAACTACAAAGTGCAAACCTATATAGTAAGTGGAGCTGATAAGTGGAAATGAGCGTAGAAACAAGGAGGTGGTCATAATGTTATGCCTGATTAGTGTATACACAACTACATGGATGTACTGATATAAAGAAATTCTGTGACTATTAATTCTGTTTATGTCACATTTAATGTTTTCAATCATAATTCTAAGACTATAAAGCTATTTAAACTCTGGCCAGTAGGCGGAGTAGTGGACATGGGTGCTTAGTTCCTCAGACTGAATCAGCATATTTGATTTATCCGCTTGTTTCGACATTGCACAACAGTTTCACCAATCAAGTACAGAGTGGTTCATGCATCATTCAGCCCGGTGCTTGCTTTTGCGTAGGTTTGAATAAGGGCCATTATGCTTCAAGGTATCTTCCATTTCAAACCAAAATCCAGTTCAATCCAGAGTTGGTGACTGGCTGTGGGCGTTCCAGTAGAAATTCTGCAGAATCTTAACGTGCAGCATGTTTGCTTCCCAGGTATGATGGCACCTCTGATTTGGCCACCGTTGAGTCATATGACCCTGTGACCAATGGCTGGCAGCCAGAGGTGTCTATGGGAACCAGGAGGAGCTGTCTGGGTGTAGCAGTGCTCCATGGCCTGCTGTATGCTGCTGGAGGCTATGATGGAGCTTCCTGTCTCAACAGGTAGGACATCCACAAGGGCTGGGAAGGAAGACAGTAAGGAATAAACCCCATAAAGGTCTTGTCTCAATGAGTGTAATGCTGCCTTGTTGCAAAGTCACATTGTGGATAATTCATGCAACCATGCAAATTTTCCTCTTGTAGTGCTGAGAGGTATGACCCACTTACCAGTACTTGGACGTCCATTGCTGCCATGAGCACTAGAAGAAGATACGTCAGAGTAGCCACACTAGGTGAGCCATTTCTAAGTAACATACTGTAGAAAGTTTCCTGTCTGTGGTTATGACATCAGTAACGATTATCAGCGTTCTGCTTGGTAAATAGGACTGCTCCATTTAGCCAGCCACTGCTTGCAATCTCGGTTTCACGTTTTATGGTGCAACATTGCTGAACGTGCTGGTACTGCATCCGTTTCCATAATGTAAATGATTTGCTACATTTTAAGTTTGCTTTGACATAATATATCCACTTCTCTCATTTCAGATGGCAGTCTGTATGCAGTTGGTGGATATGACAGCTCCTCACACTTAGCCACAGTAGAGAAGTATGATCCACAGGTACCTGACACTGTTTAACTAAACAGTGTGTAAACTTGACAATACTAAATTGCCATCCTCAGTGTGAACTTCAGCTTCACATATTAATGTAATTAATATAGCATGTTATATGTAGTATCACAGAATTCAGCTTTAGTATTCATTGCCATGTCATGTTATTTTCCCCTCTGCATTTAGAGTAATACGTGGACTGCCATAGCTAACATGTTGAGCCGCAGGAGCAGTGCTGGAGTGGCTGTGCTCGAGGGAATGCTTTACGTTGCTGGAGGCAACGATGGAACCAGCTGCCTCAACTCAGTGGAGCGATACAACCCAAAAACCAACACGTGGGAAGGTGTGGCCCCAATGAACATCCGCAGGTAAAAAGACTTCACGAGTAGCAGCACCAAAGATGTGAGCACAAAAAATACATTAGGTTCTTCTTCAAAAATCACTTCATGAACTGATGAGAGAGAACTAGCAGCTCTGCAACACCAGAGAGGTCAGACTAATAATAATCTATTACTATAATCAGCAGCCACTGGTGCACTGGCCAGTCAGCAGCTAATGTAGTTGTGAAGGGGTTTCCTGTTATAGAGCAAGCTCTGTTCAAACAGAGCACTACTGTTCAAGCATACTGTAGCACCCTTGACCCCTATTAGTAGGGCTGTTATGATTACTTGACTAACTCTGTTGGGTTGAAGCAAATGCATGTAAATAAAAAAAATTTAATTCAAAACCCGTTTAAGACACAACGCAGTTCACTGGTGCTGTAACACGTTTAGAGGGCAGTGGTGAGTATTGTCTGTTTATTTGAACTTGAGCTGTGTTTTTCATTAGAGGAAGCTACTATTACCACTATTGACCACTTGCTAATCAGCTAATTTGGCCACTTAATAGTTGCATTCATTGGACATTATTTATGGGACAAACCATCTTCAGCTAAAATGTTCTCATCATGACAGGCCTAGCCTCTTTTAAGGTGTTTTTCCACCAGCCAATGTTCTATGGCACAGAATTGTTACTAATCCTCACCCTCACTCCTCAGTCCTTACTCATTTTGGATCCTACTCATATTCCAATTCCAAGTACTGGGAATAGATGGAGTCTATTCCAAGAGTTGATTCTACACAGTAATCTTGATTTCAAAAACCAAGACATAGAAAATGACTTTTGTCAAAAGTAGAGAATACTATATTAATTTTAATTGACCATATTAGTTACAATTGCAAAGAAAGATGGAGAGTTAACCTTACCAATATTAACTTGGCTGATTGAAGGGGTCTGGCTAACCTGTACCTGATTGTCCTCTGCTGAGTCCATGGGGTAGGTAGATGTTTCAGCACTGGCCAAGTTAATGGTAAAGCACTTTTTTGTAACAAACTTTGCATTTTTACTCTGTTTCTGACTTTGTTCACAGTAAAATACATCTAAGCTATTGATGTACATGCTGTAGAAGGCCATAGTTTTTAAGCAGGCTTTTAAACAGCAAAATATCTTGTTCTCTTGCACATCTGTGCATGGAATAGAGTCCAGTGGCTTTAAGCAGAGAACTGATTCTTTCTGGGATCGACTCCCAGCCCTAAGGGTAATGAAATGTAGGACCAGTACTCTGGTATTGCACAGTTAACTTAGCAGTGGAAAGGACAGCAAAAATTGTGATTACAGATTTGTAACCATACTGTACCGCACTGCTCCGTGGAAATAAAAATATACTGGATATACTGAAAGAATGGAAAGATTGTATTGATAGAGCATATTTGAGATCATAACTGTGCTAATTAGCAGCAAATATACTGCCATCTTTGTGTTAGAGAGAGTGTTCAGTGTGATGCTCGCTATACCATTTAAGAATTATCTCTGTGCTAACGTGATGTTTTCGTGAAACCCAGCCCAAATTGAAGTTATAAACATATTACAAGCAAAGGTCATATTGCCCTGCCCCAAAAAAGAAGACCTCAAAAAAGCACACAGTGAAATTATATATACACGTTTTGTTACATAATGTTTTTAAATATTTTCTAAGGCCTCCTTATTTGTTGTATAGGTTTTGGAATCTTTTGAAGGGCTGTGCATGGTTTGTTATTAGTATTACTAATTATTAGTAGATTACTTGTTTGCTAATATAATGTGGCATGATGGTAGCAGCCCTACTTGTTGCTCACTTTGGTCAGTATCCATGCATTTTTGTCACTGTCACCAAATGTGCATATCCTCCTTATACCTAGGAGCACCCATGACCTGGTCGCCATGGACGGCTGGCTGTACGCAGTCGGAGGCAACGATGGCAGCTCCAGCCTGAACTCCATCGAGAAGTACAACCCACGCAGCAACAAGTGGGTGGCGGCGTCCTGCATGTTCACACGCCGCAGCAGCGTCGGAGTGGCCGTCCTGGAGCTGCTCAACTTCCCCCCGCCCTCCTCACCCACCCTGTCCGTTTCCTCCACCAGCCTTTGACAAAGGGTGAAGACCCGGCTGAGCTCCAGCGGCCTTCCCTGCGTGGCCAAGAGACGCAACTGCTCAGTGTGAGCTCTGGATGAAGAGGAGCACTCCGTGGGCCACAGTGCCCCCTCTCTGCTGGAGTAGCGCCACAGCATTCTGCAGATAAAGAGAGGTAATTAGAAAAAAAGAGATTGAATGAATAAAATAGGAAAAGAAACCCACACACTTCTGCCCTCATCACCCTGCACCTTGCACCCCAGCGCTTGAAAGTGCAGAATACTTTCACTCTGCCACTTTGCAGTCACTTGTATATGATGTATACTGTAATGTATTTTTGTTTTTGGGGAAAAATTGATGATATTGCAATAATATGTTAAAAAAAAGAATGTTTCTTTTTTTTCCCATAGGAATGTAGTTCTTGATTGGTTCTGCCATGCATGTTTACTGAAATTTTGTCTTGGCAGAAGAAAAAAAGATAAAACATAGTCCTGCTGTGCCACACTAGGTGGCAGTAATGCGCAATGCTGCCCTGTTTCACCCTTTGTGCATGGACGCACAGAAGCGGAAAGTTTTCACAAAGCAGTTGTTGGACACTTGGTGAATAAGGTTAAATGGGGTCATATCAGTTTGACCACAGATTACTTGTTTAAATGTATTTTCTTATTTATTTATTCAATGTAATATATATATATATATATATATATATATATAAACACCACTTATTTCAGAGATGTTCTATGAACTGCAGAAGGACCACAGAGATACAGTTTTAACTTATTTACATATCAGTGCTGGTAGAGGATGTGTGAGTTTTGATTGGTTGTGGAATTAGGGAATGTGTGAGTTCTGGCTAAATGTGTTTTCAGTGCAGGGATTAGGGTTGTTTACCAGTGATCCAGTGAAGTTCTGTTTCCATAGCCATGTATTATCTAAAGCCTTGAAGAAATGAATCTCTATATAAATATATATATATATGTATACTTTATTGATCCCCAAGGGGAAACTTGGGTGCCACTTATGAGTGCGTACTTCACTGTCATAGTCTCAGCGACTAACAATAGGGGATATTGTAAAGTTTTCAACAGTCAAAGGTCTCTATAAGGGTATAGCCATAATAAAAGTGGATGTGACCTACAGCAACATATTCCCTCACACTGTCCTGCAGTGTTCTCATGTTTGTCTTGAGAAAGGCTGATGTAAAAAACAGCCAGTAAGCTTACTTATCAAAGTCATGCCATTTTCTGGTTTGACCTGACTTCATAGTCTTTACCTCATTCGTGTAGGCACGCTCTCATTACACAAGCAGGGGTTGAAGATAATGTACGGTCAAAAAAACCTATCAAAAGTGTCATTTCAGAACTATTTTTACACTGTTTAGAAGTTAAAACCCGGTTAGAATTTGTGTATATTTGGTGCGGGGATGTCATGGGTATTGGCAACTACCAATGCATCTTTCATTGGAGCACTGACTAGAGAATTTAAAAATCTTAGGTTTTGTTCAGGAATTGAGGGCACAGGTTTACAAAACCAAGCTTTTACAACCAGTAAACCAGTTCCACCCTTAGTCATCGTCACATATACTTTGATTACAAAAATGTAGCATAACTTCTAAGAAGTTACGATTTGCTTTTTCCTTTTTTTGAAGGATTCTGTTGATTTTGAGCAAACCCAGTCTAGGTCAGAAGAAGCTTGTGCACAGGGACAACAAAGTGCTTTGTCAATCTGAAGGCTTTGGCCCTTTTTCTGTGTCTGGAATGGTGTCCTGCTGGTTTGACCTTAAATTATTATTGCCCAGGATAACCTTCCCAACAGATAAAGGAAATGTACATAACCAAATATTCTGATCTAACAATGTCTGTGATGTGTATGTAAATGTGGCTTTTTTGTTTTATTTGTTTTCTTCTTGGGTTCATGTTTTAATGTGTTGTGTGTGTTTATTTATAACGTGACTTACGTTTTGTTATATTTATGAAGGAAATTTAAACGTATTTTTTGCACTTTGTCAGATGGAGCAATACACTACTGTACACAAAAGGAAATAAAGCTGTTTTCAAGTGTGATGCGAGCTGGAGCCTATTTGAAGAAATGAGATTAAGGGTTCAGAAATGTTGATTTACACACCTTAATTTCAAATAAGTTGAGGCAGAATGTGACCTGCTAATGAAAACAGAAAGAAGTGATTAGTAAATTATTTGACCTGTATTTAATTGAAACCAGTGTTTGATTGTTTTGCCTTGATAACTTCTGTAAACACATGTTCATTTCAAATTTGTGTTGTAGCAATCAAACCATCAATCCAAAAAAGAACAGGAGCATGTTTTCCACTGTGTATAGCTGGCCAGTCTAGCACTCACACTCTCTATGCAGCCATGCTGTTGTAACATGCAGGATGTGGCTGCAGTTGTCATGTTGAAATAAGTGTGGGTGTCCCTGAAAAAGATATCATCTAGAAAGCAGCATATGCTGTTCTATCTTTAGCAGTAATAGATGCACAGATGTGCAAATTACCCAAGCCATGGGTTGCAATTCATTCCTATTCCATGGACCAAGGCTTTTGAACTTTATGCTGGTAACAGTTTAGATGGTCTTTTTCTTCTTTGGCCCAGAGAACTAAACGTCCATTATTTCCATAAAAAATTTGAAACATTGACTCATCAGACTGCTTTTCCATTCCACACATTGAGGATATATGGCTTCCACTGGTCATATTCTTAACTTTTATTTGTAGATGTAATGGTGAACTGAGTTTATTGACTGTTTGTCACAGTATTTACAAGCCCATGTGGTGTATCCATCACAAAAGCAAGCAAGTGACAGGTCTTGACCCATCATTGCTCATAAAGGATGAGGCCTTTGCTGGATGCTTCTTTTATATGTTGCATCACCTGTTTTAAGATGTGTGTATTTTTTTTTTTTTCATTTTGCAGTGTTTCTAGTCCTAAATTGTCCCTGTCCCAACCTTTTTTAGAACGGTTCACAGGCTTCAATTTCCAAATCGACAAGGTAAAAGATTAAATATCTGTTCTGTTTTTGTGTAAATACAGGTCAAAGTGGATTTACAAATCACTGCTTCCTGTATTTTTTCTTTGCATTTAACGTACTGTCCCAATATTCTTAGAATAGAGCTTTGTTAAGTTGCTACATGAACGTTTTTAGAGGAAAAAAACAGGCAAATTACACAGCCTACAAATGAGATTAAGCTTATATGTGCAAGTATCAGGTCAAAGACATTAGATTGAAGGAGCACATTGCTTAATGAACTGTGTGAAGAGATTGCAGTAAAGAGTGAGTGGAACTGGATGTACATCTGCAGGACTCTTCAGCTCTTTCCAGTATCAGTTCCTCCCAGCAGTGTTTTCTCTCTGACTGATCCACGCAGACAGCTGAGCACTCTCACTTTACCCTCCATGACCTCAGCTAGGCGGCACGTACACCTGTGAGCTCATACGCTTTCACACACACGCATGTTGATGTGGACAGTGCGTCTGATAGGACCAACATGTGGCCTACACTGTGTTGGTGCCTTGCGGAAGTTACTAGTCATTCTAAAGTTTCAAATATTGCACTTTTATAATCATTAAACTGGAAATAGACCACTATTCAAGCCACTTATATAAGCCACCATTTTTGCTGCATCAAAAGGGAATTTAATCAAGGTGCAAGAATTTGGTTTTGATCTGAAGTATTTATTGAATTTTGTGAATTTTTATACCCCTACATGGTGTTTCATTAAAACTAGTATCTGTCGAACTTTTTCACTAAAACAACTAAAAGGGTTCCTTCGAGGAACAGTCTAATAGAAAATAAGTTAATACATCCTCTACAGATGAACAAATTGATGGATGGAAATATGGATGTTTTTCTGCATATTCTGCAGAATTTTAATTGCACAATTTCAGTTTATTTACAGAATTTAAAAGAATAAAATAAATAAAGCATGCAATTAAAAGTGTGCATTAACTTTTACACAGACCACATTTTGTGCAATATGTTAAATTCAACATATAAACTAATTGTGCAATTAAATGTGCAGAAGTGAGTTCTCTGTACACACTTAAGATGGTTCTTCAAAGGTTCTGTAGTAAAGAAAATTTTCTATATAGAACCATGAACACTCAAAGAACCCTTCTGCATGATTAAATGGTTCTTTGTATCATGATAGTGTTCTTCAGATTGATGGAGAATGTGCTGTAGATGGTTCTATATAGAACCTTTTTGAAAAGGGTTCTTCTGTTGTTACAAGCTTGACCCTTTTTTCACAAAGGTTCAATAAAGAACCATCTACAGCACATTCTTAAGAACCCTTTTATGATGCAAAGAACCTTTCATCATGCAAAGGGTTCTTTGAGTGTTCATGGTTTTATATAAAACCATTTTCTTTAATAAAGAACCCTTTTAGTACCCTTTAGAACCCTCTTTAAGAGTGTAGAACTTATTTTCACTTAGAAAATCAATGTTATTTAACAAGGGGTGCCTAAACTTTTGGATACGACTGTAACCTTTCAATTTTTCAAAGGACCCCCCCCCCTTTGTACCATCTTTAAAAGGCTATTGCCCCCTTTTTGTCAGCATTAAAAACAACCTCTAATGCCCACAGCTAGGGACAGTGAAAACGGGGGCTGTTTTATTGAGATATGGGGGTATTGTGAGTGCATTAACCCCTGCCTACCTGTAATGTCTGTTGAGTAGGGGGGAGAGGAGGGGGTTAAGCACCACACCTCAGAGCCTGTCTGTTTGACAGTAGCCCTGCAGCGTGCTGTCTTGTGCTGATTTGAGGGACAGTAATGACTTTACAGCTTGGGCAGGCAACTACAGGCTTAGATATGCAGCAGAGATGGAGACCAACTGGCCCCAACTTTGCCAACCCTAAACCCTGTCCTCATACCCAAACGTCTGACCCGCCCATCGTTGACTAAATCCCACCCACACACCGCAGGCCTTCACACAAACACACAGCTCTCCCCATATCCTGCCTCTGTGTTTGCATAGTGCTAGTACAGTCAGTCCTGCTACTGTAGCTCCAACTGTCTCTGTGTACAATCATAACACTGATGGAAGTTTCTTGAAAACAGCCGATATACAGATTCTTTATCATTTTCATCTGTCAAAATATTTCGCTCAAACTAGGAAACGTTTACTTTTGAAGAAATATAATTGCACCTAGCTGCATAAGATGAAAATAAGTACAAAAAAAATGACTTTACAATATGTGTTTTAGAAATGACAGGTAACTATAAGTGACCTCTTAAAGCTCCCTACAGGAAGCTGTTACATAAAACACTTATGACTACACTGTCTGATGTCTGAGACATTGTTTTACAATAGTTTTGGTTTAAAATGTATTTCAATCAATTTATTTTCATTCATTCATGTTGAAGGGGTAGATGTCCCAAGGCAAAATAGTCTCCAAAGGAAACTTATTTTATCAGATTGACCATTATTTTATCATCATCAACAATAAAAAGGATATATTTGGATAGTAAATAAAATGGCTGTATTTGTGTTGTAGACATTAGACGTTGTGACCCCTGGTTCCTATCAGTACCACTGTGAAGGAATCTGGGTCAGTACGTTCATCTACAATAAAGCCAAGAAAACAGTTTCACCTCAAACCACTCAGAATGACTTTGTTTACATCCCGACTGCTGAATTATACAGAAATTTTGAAAAATCAGTGGAGTTCCCCTTTAAGTATAAGTTTTTTTAGTGTAAGAAAAAAGCAGGAAACATACGTCTAACAGAAAATTACACGACAGCCTCCAACACTTAGTATATCATGTCGAGAAACTAACATTCACACAAGCAAGTAACCAAACAAACTTTAGCTGCCTTGCACGTTTATTTCACATGTGTGTCTACAATGGCTAAAGAAGACATTTCTGATGAAAAAATGAATTTCCCAAAAAAAAATCATACAGAGAAAACTGGTCCTGGAGATCTACCACCCTGCAGAAGTTAGCTTCAACACACTTGGCTCTAATATTCAGATGCCACTGAAGGCCTTTATTCCCTGGACTACATGTGTTATATAAGGGTAAAAGTTAACTCTGCAGTGGTAGATCTCACAGACCTGGATTAAACACCCTTGGCTTAAAGCTTTCATCTTTGAGAGAGAGGAGAAAATCAAGCTCCACTCTGGCTTCATTCTTTCACTGTGAGAAGACACCTTAGCGCTGAGGGTCTAAAACACATGTCAGGCACCAGTCCTGGTGGACTTAAGCACGCTGCCTCATTAAACACACCTGATTCAGCTCATCAGCTAATTAGCAAGGCCTTCATGAACTGAATTCAGAGCGTTAGATGAGGGTAAACACCAATATCCACAGCACTTTAGCTCAGATGGTCACCAGTTTGACTTTGCAGATTTGTTTGAAAAACTGAACTGAAAAGAATAGATGCTGTAATAAAGGCAAAGGGTGAACACAGCAAATACTGAAAATTGTGATATATTTAGTTGTGGTTTTCTGTTGTCTTTTTTTTCTGATGCTGTAAAATGAGTTACTTGTACTTAATGGCTGTTTTGACAGGGAATGAAATGTGGTCAGTGATGTTTGCCCACTACAGTAGATTCTGTAGAGTCTATGGAAAAGCTAATCCTCAAGTACTTTTCTTCACGTATCAGTCAGAACATGACAGAACAAAGCTTGCGTGGAAAAACTGAAGTAGCGAGACTTTTTCCAGTTGCTGTACAGATTGACGTTGCAGTTTCATTTTGTTCAGACTTCTTCTACACCTTCCCTCTCTGGCACAGTTGGTGTTGTAATCACAGTGCACCGGTGATTCTTCCTTTACATAACCAGGACATTTTGGAAGACGTTGCACCTTTTAGCTCTCACTGAACAGCTTCCTTGTTGCAGTTCTTGTGAAATTTATTTTAATCCTGCTTTGGTAAATTCCATTAGTGTTGCGTTGCGTCCACATTCTGAGCTTGTCGAGACAACAAAATTCCCTTTTAACTGCTATTGTTGTATATGTTTCTTTTTTTTTTTTGCTTTAAGTATCTCTTGGCTTTAGCACTATTAGGCACTGCACATTACTGCTGGTCATGTTGGGCTGATTA